TTTGATTTCTCAAAAAACGCATGTAAATTTATAAAGTACTAATAATATTCCGCACTATTATGCACATTTCGTTTTGGTGTTCGCTTGGTGCGCAATTATTTTTTCTATGAGATTCTATTCTATTTTAAAAACTTTAAGTATTTAAAATGGATTTAAAATCATAACTATATCCCGAGTTCCATCCCCTGTTGTTTTATATAAGAATATTCGAGAAAGTTTAGGGGAGATCACTCCCGGTTTATTTTACAAGGATTACAATACAGATTGTGTTGCGTTCATTGTTTTTAGTTCTATTGTGTGTACATTTTGTTTGTTTATTTAATATGTTTAGACAGAGTGATAAATTGTTTTGTTTTGTCGGCCTACATTGTGTGTTTTTTCTTATTTCTTCAGTGTACTTTTTTCAATTTATTTTACATCATAGCGAAGCAATGACATACAGCTAGTATATATATATATATATATATATATATATATATATATATATATATATATATATATATATATATATATATATATATATATATACATATATATATATAATGCTGGGAAAAATTTGAACCCCCCCCCCATTAGACGATCCTGTTTACGCCACTAGCCCTACATGCTCGACCACACTGTCCCTTATAATTGTAGATATGCTCCGATCAACACGATTTCGAGAGTGACTTATCCAGTATTTAGTACTGAACATGTCCATTTCGAAGGAATCAGTGATTACTCGCTCCATGCAACTACGTGTACATTTTCTAAATAGAAGAACACGTACTTTTAACAATGTTATGACATTTAAAACGATATTTTATTCAAATACAAAGTCTTAATTGCTACCAAACAAATACCAGGACTTATATTTTATTCAATAAAGCGGTAGTCTGAAAAAAAAGGTTGCCCATTATATTAAAATTGCAAATATCTATGTTTGCTTCAAGCTGAGCTGGAGTTAGGAAAGTAAAAGAATTTAAGTGGGGTTAAGTATGTTGTTATATATATATATATATATATATATATATATATATATATATATATATATATATATATATATATATATATATATTTATATTTATATTTATATTTATATATATATATATATATATATATATATATATGATGTGCAGCTTAATATACTTTGACGATGTCTATCAGGGTCGAAGAATATCGAAAGGAACAGTATTTTAAACCTAATTTAACGATTGCACATTTAACAGGAACAGAAACAAACATGAGTAAACATGTTTTGATTAACCAGGTTTATTTTTACAGCTGATTTTACAGCTTTAAAATAAATTAACAATCAAGGCTAAGTAACACCAGTTGGCATGTTGCCAAAAAATAATTTTAATCGAATTCATCCGCCGTTAACAGATTTTTTAATCAGGTACAACCGTTGTTCCAAATCTTGACTACAGTGGTCATATTACACATGTTGACACGGTGCTGATTGAAATGATTAATGTCTTTTAACGCCCATTAAAAATACGACTACATTATTACTGCATTAGAACATATATATCAGATTGACAAATCAAAGACATATTTAATTATTTTGTTGTGGGACTGAAATGAGGTGTTGTGTTGTTACGCGTTAGAATATTTCCCGACGTTAATCAAATTTAAAAACTTAGATCCGCTTCAGCTGATCTTTACAAGCAGTGAACGGCACCGCTACCGTCATTTAGACTAATCAATTCATCATTAAAGAAAAAAAAATCCCCCTTCTACGATTCAGCTGATTTTAATTATATCCCGGCTTTACCGCCACTTAGACTAATTAAATCAGGGTCGGGTGGGTTATCTTGTATCCATCAGTTTGGTTCAAACTGTGTAACACTTTAAAACGAAAAAAAAATACTTTATTAGGAACTTGCAATTAAAACATTAATAATAAAAAACGTTTTAAGAACACGTTTTTATATAACAATGCGCTAAAAAGTAGAGAAGAGGTTATTTTTTTTTAAATTAACAATGCGCTATTATTAAAAATATATAAAGAAAATATTAAAGAAATATGTTTATTTTCTACATGTGCGTTGCTATAACTATAAACCTTGTTATTAAAATGTTTTTAATGATTACTTTCTCGTATGCAGAGTATAGTGGAAGTAGGCTATGGTTATCATGCACAAAAATAATATGAAATTTTGACAGTTTTCACCATTTTACACTTCTGTAAATAATCGGAGTATATGGGACTTATTTTGATTGGGCCAAAATTATAAATCCAGATTTAACAAAATGTCGGCATTTTATGCGTAATCGAGTTGGAAAAACTGGGTTTTGCAATTTTATCTGTTTGTCTGTGTGTGTATGTGTATGTTTGTGTGTATGTGTGTCTGTGAACACGATAACTCGAGTACCGTTACAGCTAGGTTGAAGAAAGTATGGGGGTTCAATGTATGTATAGTTGTGGAGGTTGTGCTTATTATGGAGGTTCGATGCGTGTATAATTGTTGAGTTTGTGTAAAGTATGGGGGTTTGATGTATTGACAAGTAATGAGTGGTATAATGAATGGGCGTCTTATTTATTAATCAATTTTATAAATGTGATAGTAGGATTGCGTATAGGCTTCAGGTCTATGTATCAATAGTAAGCGAGGGCATGCATGGGCTTTTGATATGTGCATAAGTAGACACACATATATATATATATATATATATATATATATATATATATATATATATATATATATATATATATATATATATATATATATATATATATATATATATAATGAAGGGACAACAACATAACTTTACTTTGCAAAATATTGTTTTCTTAAAAGGAATGTTTAAATGTACTCTGCAAATAATGCTTTCTAATTCATAAACAAGTTAGGAGTTATCATCTTATGTAAAGAAGTATGTTTCACATACCAGACCAAACCAGTTTGGCTGTCACATGCAACACTGGATGCGATACTTGTATATATAATCAATAAGATTTAATTAGGTTTTATTGTAAATCTTTCTATGTTTAGACATTACGTATATTACTATAGTTCGTGAGCGTTATCCGAAAAAATGAGGAAGTTGGTCCAGGATTCAGAGCGTTGATAATATTAAAATGTCTTTTAGCTGTGCCGAAATTTAAAACTACAATAGAATAAGTTATGTAGGGTATAGGAGTTGAATATATGGATCATTGCGGGAGGAATGGTTTCGTGTTTTTATTAAATAAATCAATGGGAAGACGTTCGATCCATTGATCAATAGCGATTAGTGTCAGCTAATGTTGATCGATCAAAATATTAAATTTAGGAGTGGCGTCAGCTATGAACGTTTAGTCTGGGAGTAAATGAGGAAGGGGCGTCAAATATGAGCGTGAGATCTATGGACCAATAGTGGATAGGCATCTCGCAAAGCATCAAACTACTTCACTAAAGACCTTAAAAAACAAAGAAGGAAAGAACGCAGACAGCGGAAATCATTAGTCTAGATTACACTCACACACCATCCCTGTTCCACTCTTGAAATTTTACTGTTAACAACCCGTCATAAAGAAAATCAATCAATTTATGTCTTATCTCGGCAATTAGTATTTAATGTGACTACATACACCAGATGGACATACTTGCAGTGAAATAGGTTAACTTAATAAATCAAGAAATGGTCTATGGGGATATGCTAAGTACATTTCTAATTTTTTTGGAGCAGAATGATAGTAAAACGAGCCGACCCGCAATTTAGTGACGGGTGAAGATTTCCTGAAAGACACAGTTGTGCAAATGGGGTGGGTGGGTACATACTGTTGCACATGCCCGGAGAGCGAGTGAGGGGGCGGGAGGATAGTTAAAGAGTCGGCGTACTTAAGTGGTGGGCGAAGTGAAGAATTATATATATAAATAGTTTTTTTTTTTTTTTTTTCTACGTTTCAGTAATTTATAATTTGTGAATTCGACACTACCATGGAAGCAAATGAAAATATTTTTGCTTTAAAACACTATCAGTAGCTCGTGAAGGACGATTATGCTCACACTCCCCCCCCCCCCCCCCCCCCTGTAAAAACAGCCGTTGGTGACGACAATTTACAGACGACAATGAAAAGATGAAGCAGAACTTGTTACTTCCCTTAGTTTCGAATCGTTTTAAAACTAAACTGTCTGCCCGTAATAGCCGTCACTAATTCGACCCGGCTCCACGATTGTAAACAGTTGGCGTAAACCACAGCTCACCAGACTGGTGGTGATATCGATATGGTCTGTTGCGCATGACTAGAGAGAGAGGGAGGGGGCGAGAGGAGGGTTAGAGAGTTGGCGTGTGTGTGTAATGGTGTCCCGTATGGTTGGGCAATGTAGATAATTATATATATAGATGCTGTGTTTATAGATGGTTGGAAAATGAACACAATTCGTTAACATTGTATGGTGGCGTCAGTATACGACGTCAAATTTCTCGGAGGTCAAAGAAGGAGCGGGGTCGAACCTTTGCAACTCACTATTACGAGGATGATGGGTGGTGGTCAGAACGTGGGACGACACACTTTTGCATTTTTAGAAGTAGTGTTAGTGATTTTGTTTTACCCACTATTTTGCAATTGTCCCTAGCAAAGAAATGATCTCTGTTTATAAAAATAAAACTTTAATTTTTATTAAGGGTTATAGATCTTTTTTGGGTCTCTGTCACATTTTTTGCTACAATGACGCTTGTTTGACACGCTTGATTGTGCTTTAGCTCAATACGCTTTACTAGCGCTGGCGTGTTATATACACATGTGTCCAACATTAGGCTTTTACAGTTGCTGTCACTGGGAATCAGCCCCAGACGAGGTCTAATCCTTAATGGGTGAGCATCATGCACACGCAATGAGGTAGATTTACATATTTACATTTGTAAAATTTAGAAAATTGTCTTGAACTAGGAAAACCCCAGATGAAAAACTAAATAAACTCGTGAGTCATGACTGTTCTACTATTTACCAGTAAATAATTAAACAATGTTTCTACGCAACTAATATATTAACAGGTTAAAACACTTTTATTTTCACGCCAAAACATTATGCTTGTATTATTTCCATTCACTTTAAAAAAAGAATACATGATTAAAATGGAAATTGATTGAGAAGACATATTAAAATAACTCAAAGGAAAACAAGTGATAATTTTTTTTCTTCTTAAATTCGATGGTCTTGGCTTAAATAATTTGGTCAGTGTCATATTTTTGGGTGGGGATATAAGTCTCTGAGATATAAGGATTGTGGGAGGTAAAATAACGGCTAAAAAGTGTAGTCTTATATTAAATTATCATTTTAATACATAATCAGTAAGTAGTAGATTAAAAAATGTAGACTTTCCAGTTTTGACATAATTATATAGCTATAATATTGTTTTCGAAACTTAAGTTTAAAATTAATTTTCATATTTGATCGACAACCTGCAAAATCTGTGACAATTTTTGTTAGTGTCATAACTTAAGTGTAAAGCATTCTGATTATTAATGATAAAATGATTTAAAAAAAAAAACTGCAGTGCTTAAATAATTTTATTTACATATCACAGCATTCAAAAATCAATACATTAATTACTACCATTTTCTCTTATAAAAATTATAATTTTAATTCATTGTTTACAACTTATAAAAATAAGATCAACAATATCAAAATAAAATTTCACTTTTAGTTTTAAAAAATGCACAAATGTTGCCAGCTAGTGTGTAAGAGCCAATATCTCAGACTTGTAAAAACGTAATTTTTTTTAGATGGAGTCTAATATATTTTTAAAACACTTTCACTAAACATTTGTATGGCTATATTTGAACCATTTTAACGTTATTATACTTTACTTTGGTAATAAATATGAAATAATTTTTGTTAAATATAGAAATAAAATACACAGCAGAATATTATAAAATGTAAAATAAACTGTAATTTGTTGCTTTATTTTTTGGGTTATGTTTAATTCTTAACAAATAATTTGCAAAATGAACTTTAATAATGTTAAAATGTAAAGAACTATAACAAAGTTACATTATAAAGTGATAATAGCAAATACTACAATTTAGATATAGATTTATTGTAGGCTACTTATATTTATTTTTTAAAAGAGTAAGATCAACAGAATATGTTATTTATGGAAAAATTTTGTGTTTTGAAGAAGTTTTCTTGCAAAAATAGACTACCACTCCAGTGACAACACAGGCTAATACAGCCAGAGGCAATCCTATACCAAGACCAAGTGTAAGATCCCTGTCATCTGTTAATTTAAAATATAAAAAAATTGATTTTCATCAGTTCACTTTTTTTTTACAGAGAGAAAGGAAAAATTAAATCTTTAGTTCAGAAATTGAAACAAGTTTTTTGTAGTTATTAAATGCCAAATTACAATTTAGAAACAAATCACTTATTTAAACAATTCATCTAACCTATTCAGGAAATCATTATATTAAAATATAATATGTAAACATTTATTGCACTTACCGTCAGCTATTAACCTAATGAAACAAAACAAAAGAAACAATTAGAGATATTTAAATCCATAAAACAATGTATTCATTTGATGAATATTTTAATCAATTAATTTACAGTTGACAATATATTTCAAAATTTGGGAACTGACAACAATATGACATTATGTTAAATATCCTGATATATTACAAATAAGACATTAAATTTAAATTTAATCAAAATGTATGTGTAAATATATTAATTTAATAAACCAAAGTTCTTGTTATCTTATCTATATATGTTTCATACCTGCAGACTGTTGCACCATTTTCCACAATACAAGCCTCATTATTTCTACATGGGTTGGTCTTTTGTCTCACTTCACAAGTTGAAGCATAGACTAAATGTCAAATTGTAATATTTAATTTCAAATGTAATGCTTTTTAAAATATAAACATACAATATAAAATAATGTACAAAAAATAAATCTATATTTACCTGCTTGGTCACCAACATACAGATTAATAACTGTTGAGAGGACATTATTTATAGTAACTCCTTGAGTCATGATCACTTGTAAAGCAGAAGTCAGTGATTTGTCTGGGCTGCTCTCTATAATGCTATCAATCAGCACAAGAATGTCTGCTATAAGACTACCTTTCCTGCAATATGAAGGGGAAAAATCAATTTGTTTAGATTATGAAAACAACCTATCATGGATTTAAAGATATTCATGTAAAACAATATGAAATTGATCATAATGTTCATGGCTATTGTTGAATTGTTAATCAACTTAATTGGATTATTGTACTGAAAAAAAATGAAAAGTAAAAAATTAACTGATCAATAAACACTTAATTACCTTGTTTTATCAAAGTTTTGCATTATTATATCAATTGGTAATAGAAGACTTCTATTGACTAGTGTTTAAAATTTGTGTAAACCCATATTAAATGTATGTTTTAATAAAAATGTGTGAAGTACAGTTCACACACTAAAACTTTCAGCCTATTTTGTTAACTCAGTTACTAAAATTAATTATATGAAATATTGTTCATATAATTGATAAAACTTTATTGATCAGATTCAATAAATTCTTACTTGAGGCCTTGAACAGAAACGTTAGTTACAGCCACTCCTGTAGCTTTCAATTTCTTGTACATCTGAAACAATATTGACGTTTTTACTGTGTTGGTTTATTATAGTATTTTTTAAGATATTATAATTTTAAATTTTATAAAAAAATAGCCTTATCTTATTACTACATCCAATTACTTGTAGGAGGTATTAAGATTTTTAAAGATATTAAATATGGTTCTCTTTGACCTATTTACCTTGCATTATGAAAGTATTCTTCAGCTAGTTAAAGTTTATGGTTAGATTAATATTAACATTTGATATTTTAAAAGGTAGGCAAAAACAAATTACTTGGGATTCAACTTCATCTTTTGTTTTCTTGTAGTCATCACTGTTTTTGTCTTCTAGGTTTAGTTTGGAAACATCCAAGTTGAATGTGATTGTCATGTTATGTTTTGATGTTTCTGTAAAAAATCAGTTTAAAAATGTAGCTTTGACATTATTCAATGAAAATATAATTAACTAAACAAAAAATTAAAAACTTAAGTACATTGAGTATGTAATTTTCATGATGATAAGATTACCATGGCACTTTGATGAATTTGTAGGGCTAACGGCAAAGCCATCTTTACATGAGCAATTGACACTGCCAATAGTGTTGGTACATATCTGTTCACAGACTGGTGTTGTGAGAGCACACTCATCAATATCTAAGGCAAAATGTCAATTATACAAAATTATATATATTGTGCATTATAATTGTATTTTTTTACAATAGTTCTATAAAAACAATAACATTAATTTATATGTTTATTTGTTATAATCTACTTGTACTGTAAATTGTGAGATTTTAACATGATGTTAACTAAACACCATGAGAAATAACAATGCATGTGTATTTTAACAACGTAATCTATTTTTACAAAACCTTACCTTCACAGTCACAAGAGTTACATTTCTTTTCAAAGCCTTTGTCACATGAACAAACATACTCATTACCCTGTTTAGTACAAAACTCATGGTTGCTTGTATTACATACACAGTGCAATGTGCAGTTGGGACCATAGTAATTCTCCTCACAAGCTGTATAAATACAAATTAAAATTACGAAATGTGTGAAAAATATATGTTGTATAGGGCCCACATGGGAGAATTTTAATTCTAATAATTTTATATGTTATATCTAACTTAATTAAAACTAAAGAAATATTAAACCTATTATATACTCTCTAATATTTCTTTTATACCAAGATATGGTAATTATTTTTAAAAAATATTCTTTTAAGTTTTATGTTTTTTTTAGATTGGTAATGTATAAACCCCAATGGATTCATTCAATCCATCAATTAGTAAATGCTGCATTCTATATATTTCAATACCTTCTCTAATCATCAGATACAAAGATTTATTCAATTTTTTTTTTCAAATATGTGAGTAATATCAAGGAAAGCTACTAACTAAATAATTGAGATTATACAATACTTCTTAAAGCTATGATAAATCTCTATAATTAATTTTTACATTTTTTTTAACAAAATAATTATTTTACCTTCACATTTATTGTTTGTATAAAAATAAAATTCATCACAGACACAGACAAAGCTTCCTTCAGTGTTGTTACAATGAGAATGGGCTGGACAGTTGTTTGTGTTCTGGATACATTCATCAACATCTTTGTCACAATTAGTTCCACTCCATCCACTTTTACACTGGCATGTACCAGAGACTTTATCACATGTTGATGTCCCCAATACAGAACAGCTGCAGGTCTTGTTACACTCAGTGCCCCAGCTGCCCTCTACACAAGCTGAATAAGATGGAAAATATATATCTTGTTTGCTTAAATTATTCTCCATTTTTAAGAAAATTCTGTCTATTTATGTGACAATAATTGATAATAAGAGAAATAAAATACAGTACTGTAATTCATTTTATGTTTATTTTTAAGTAATGCAAATACTGTATTTAATGATTTAAATCAGATATTATGTAACGGTAAAAAGTGGAAAATGTCAACAAAACAAAAAAATTTCTTCAGTCAAGGTGGCATGGACAATTTGTCATTAACTACATCAGAAATAGACTATAGCCAATCTGGCTCTTTTGGTGATGACATTAATTACGAGGCAAGAAACTTAAGTATTAGTCATTTTAGATAGTTTTATTTATTTTTCTTTACTTCATGATAATAATACAAATCAATAAAGTGTGATGAGAAAATCAGATTTTTAAATCATTATTTCATTTGTTTACTGTGAATTTTTAATTTATTTTCAACTACACAATTGACAGCTGAACTAAAATATAATTTAATTTTGAATATAATCTTGGGATTAATTATATCATAGCATATTAAATTAACAGAAAGATTTGAGATTGGAATATTGTAATTAAAATAAAGAAATTATGAGAAAACAGATAAACATAATTATTTAAGATGCAGCTGTATTTAGATACATAATATTAAACCTTTTACAGAGCTGATGATGTGGCATAAAGTTCATCGAACAAGCAAGAATTTTAAAAATACATTATGATGAAATATGCAATCCATGTTCTGTTGAATGAAATATGATAGCAAATTTAAGTTATATATAGCTTTATCAGCTTAAAAATAAATAATTTTACTACCTTCACATGTGTTGCTTGAGTTGAAATAGCCATCATCACAAGCACATACAAATCCGCCATCAATGTTGCTACAATGAGAATGGGACGGACATATATTTGTGTTCTGGAGGCATTCATCAACATCTTTGTCACAATTAGTTCCACTCCATCCACTTTTACACTGGCATGTACCAGAGACTTTATCACATGTTGATGTCCCCAACACAGAACAGCTGCATGTGTTGTTACACTCAGTACCCCAGTAGCCTTCCTCACAAGCTGGACATAGTATATAAAAATAAGATCTGTAAAATTATAGTGTTATCTATATATACTCATTATTCATTTTATGAAAGGGGAAATTAACTGAAAATTATATTAAAGCTTAAGTGTTTAAAAATTATGTAATTATTCAGGATTTTTTTGTAGAGGTATGTTTGATTTTGTTCATTTTAAAAGAAATTTTTAATTCCCACAATTTTTTTAAACAACCATGTCTAAAATGACAGCTTTTAAAAAAAAAATGTACGTTCATTAACTTTTTAAACAATTGCTTTAATTAGTAACTAATATAAACAATATCTGAATTACCTGTGCATGTATTACCAGTTGTAGAAAAACCATCATCACAGACACAGATATATCCACTGCTTGTACTCATACACTTATAATTCAATGAACATTTGTTCACTCTACAGTCTATGACGACATCTTCACACGTGGCTCCACCCCATCCAATCTTACACTGACATGAACCAGTGACCTTGTCACAGTGGTCTGTGTTCAGCATCTTACAGCTGCATGTGTTGTTACATCCAGCGCCCCAGCTACCCTCAATACAGTCTAGAAAGAAAGTTAAAATCTCAATCATAAATAAAAGGATTTTTCCCCATGAATATTTAAAAGTAGAATTTATTTTTCTCATTGTACATTTCCAGATTTTTTGGTCATATTGTTTTATTATGATGGAACCAAAGCTATTTTTTGTAGAGAAATATCCAGCAGTGAAACAATAATCAACAGCCATACTGGTCTAGAATGGAACCAGTAAAGAAACCAAGTTCTGCTAGATATTTAAAAGGCCTATAAATCATAACTAAGGGCATAACAATAAAGTCTGAATTTCTCTTTACAAATAAATGCAAATATCATACTTTTGTTGCAAGTTATAGAAGTAGTCCTAGAACTTCTCTTGAGTAGAAAAAAAAAGTTACTTAGGTAACTTACCATCACATGTGATGCCATCATTACTCAGTGTTTGTCCTATTGGACACACACACTCTGTACTTGTGTTTTGTTGAGTTTCTACACAGCCATGTTTGCAGGTGGCTCTAGCACACAGATCCAGATCTTAAAGTAAAGATGTTACTTTTGTTACATAATTATTTTAAAGGAAATGTCAATATTCACATTAATAATTTAGAAAAGTTGAAAACATTACAATTTATAGAAGTGAACTAACTTTTCTTAATTAAATTATTAAATATAGTTTAAATATAACCAACTGCTAAAAGGGCAAATCATTTTAATTATTCAACATCTTGAAGAACATTTTTTGTGACTATAATATTGTAATTTAAAAAGAAATGTAATTTATAAAACTACCATCACAATTGAGACCATCAGCTGCTAAAGTTGTTCCTTTAGAACACAAGCAAGTCTCTGTATCATTGATGGTAGCACACTGGTAGCTACATGTGGTTTTGGTGGTGCATGGTATTGTGGCTGCAAGAAATGAATTGTGTAAACAAACAACAGCCTGTACTTATTAATTTAAGCCAATTGAGAACACATACATATTTAAAATAAATTATCATTAGTGATCATCAGACATTAATATAATTTCCATTCATAAAACTAATTAAATTTGTGATTAGTCTTTTTGTAAGCTATGTTACATATGCCTATACAAAAGTAAATAATTAAGTACCAGTTAATGAAGACCTAACAGACTATGGTTCATGTAGAGCAGATTATGTGGTAAATACTATGTCCTGATACAGTTACTTTCCCCAAATAAAGTCAGATACTCATTACCAACACTAGAGCAACGTTGAAATTTTCTATTTGACCATCCAGTATCCTGCTGTATAGTTGCAGTATTTGCATGCTAATTAAAAATAATATCACTAAACTACCTCTACAAGTAAGACCATCAGGTTGAAGCAACAGCCCTGATGTACAAGAACACCTGTAGCTTCCTTCTGTGTTGATACACAACTGTTCACATCTGGTATTGTCTTGTTGGCACTCATTTATATCTGGAGGTAGAAATAAATCATTTTTACTTCATTTATTATGGAGTTTTGTAATTTACATAGCAACCTATGAAGACATTTTATTATTTTATTCCTTAATACTTCATTTCACATTACAAATAATATTTTGTATGATTAAAAATATTTCTTTAAAACTTAATAATTGACATGTAAATTTAAAGGTGAATTTTCATAGGTCATCATTTTAACAATATACCTGAACAAACGTTAGTTGTTGAGTTGTAGAAATAGCCATGGAAACAAGCACAGCTGTAACCTCCAACAAAATTGTTGCACAACTGAAGGCAGTTGTTGGTTGTTGGACTGGAGCATTCATTAAAATCTACAGCAACAAAAATATTCACATTTCATTTTAATGCTTGGAATAATTGATAAATTTACCATTTTTCTATTTCTTATTTAACATTTATGGATGTTAAAAAATTTAGAATGCAATTAATTGTAGTGTAAAGTTTAGTATAGGCTACCTGCACAGGCTCCATTTTCTCTTACATAACCAGTTTGGCATTGGCAGGTAGCAGATCCAGGTAGATTGACACATTTCTCATTGGTGCCACATTTCTGTGCTTCAGTTGTACATTCATCAATGTCAATATTACACAATTTTCCTGACAATAAAACAAAGTTATTTATAGTCTACGTGAAAGAAAAAAAAAACTTTTTGTTTTTAGAGAACTCACCTGAACAATAATCCAACAAAAAAAAATTATTTGAAAGATACATAACTTGTGAGCAAAATTTATCTTACTAAAAAGCAGAAAGATATATAATTATTGGAAAAAATGAAATAATGCTACCTTAAATATATACTTTCTTACCAGTGTATCCTGACTTGCAAACACAACCAGTTTTTAGATCACAGTAATCTGCCCCTGACCCACAGCTACATGACTTGTTACACTGTATGCCCCATGTTTCGCCACTACAACCTGTCAAATAATGATTTTATAATACAGATTAAAAATTTGGCTCTTTTACTGTAACTAAAAAAAAAATTAACTAAGGATCCAAATATGTGGACTTACTTTGGCAAAGAATTGAAAAATATAAAAATATATTACCAATACAAGAGCGGCCATCATTGTCCAGCTTTGTCCCTGCTTCACATGAACATGTGTAGCTGCCATCAGTGTTGACACAGCTTGTTTTGTTAGCACATTTGTTGTCACTGTCTGACAGGCATTCATTGATATCTGAGAATCACACATTTCAAGAATAAAATTTATTTTTGTTTGCATTAATTTATTACTTAATTTTCACAGTAAAACCTTAAATCTCAAATTAAAATATTTATTTTAATTTACTTATTTAATTCTTTAAAATCTGACATAATAATTATGTGCCTAAAACTACATTTGCTATCTGTTACTTTTTCTTTCTAAATAGTAATGTAAAGAATCCTCTTTAGACGTAGATATCCATAAGGCAAATGAAGTAGAGTTTATTGGTTTCTTGAATTTGTCATATGAAGCGATAATGTGGTCAGCACTATGCCCAGCCACCTTCCTTTCACTTATATGTGTTTCATACTAATCGGAGCTGGGTGGACTCAGGGACATTCTACTGACGTATACCCTGATTGAAACTCAAGACTTTTGGGTTAGCAGTCTTGTGCACTACCACTAGTCCAAACCATCCCACTATATTTTTACATGCATTATATATATATATATATATATATATATATATATATATATATATATATATATAATGTATGTATATATACCTTCACAAAGTTCTGTGCCTTTCAATTTAAAACCTCTTGCACAGTAGCAAGAGGGCATATTATCAGCATCAATACCACACCCATAGCTGCAGTTGAGAGTTTGACCAACACAAGTGTCTTTCACTGTTTGGTAAGACATGATATTATGAATTTGATATAACACATTAAAAAATTCCTTATTAAATTAAATTATATATACAATAAAATCCATATAGGAATTTAAAATGATCAAATTATTTTAAATCAAACTCTAACTTTAAAATTATATATTATATAAATAAGCCTCCAAGCAGAGCCAAACTCATCAACTAGTTATACAGTAAGTTAAATAACATAATGTTTATTAAAATACAAATTGTATAATTCTTTTTTAAAGTCACAAAATCAATTCCCTTGAAAAGCATGAAAAGGTAAAATGCAATATTCAAACAATATTCAAACTTTTCCATTGCAATAATCTCCTCAAAACATAATTGATCAACACTATCAATTTACTCTCAAACATAAGAACACTATACTTTCACAAGAATGTATTGCACTCAGCTTTCCCAATGAATATCAATTGAAGTAACATTTTTAAAATGGCTACAAACATAGTAATTTAAAAAATTTTTATCCACCAAATCTGCCTCAAGTAAACAAAAATATGTGAAGATTTTCAACTTTAACTAGAATGGCTTGGTCCCTTACCTTTGACACAGGACCACCTGTCATCAGAGAGATAAAAACCTTGTTGACACAAACAGTTGTAGGAGCCAGGTTTGTTGTCACATATCTGTTCACATTTGTCTACTTTCTTTTCACACTCGTTGATATCTAGAACACATTAAAAATGTCAGACTATATGATGATTAATTCTCAGACCAAATTTCTTAAAAATTGTTTTTTTCTAATTCATTGTTTTCATTCAGTAAAATTTCTTTAAGTTTGTATTCAATTGAACTTCAATGCTATTTATGTCTATTATATTACAATTACATGTTGTTAGATTGAAGTATTTTACTGTAACTCAATAGACACAAACCTTCACAAACAGACTGAGCATTTCTGGCATATCCTTTCTTGCACGAGCAGCTGTAGCTCCCCACTGTGTTGATACAAACTTCTACAAGTCTGTCACAGGTTGTGTTGGAATAAATATCTGTGCACTCATTAATATCTGGTGTTACAGAGAATGGAGTAACACAGTTATAAATACATTTTTTTAAATGAACTGTATGGAGCATTTTTAATTTTTCTTTATGTATCTTTTCTTCTTCTCTAAATCAAACACTGTTACTCAATATAACTAAATAACAGCAATAATAATAAGAAATAAAACTGGATACACCAAAGAACGCAATTGAAATGTAGGCCTACTTCATTTAATTAGTCTATAACGGAATTAAACAAATTTATTTAAATGAATTCTCTAGTACATAGACTTTAATACAAATTTTAAACTTTTCATTTTTTATTAGTAAGTAATAAAGTGTTACCCAAGCAAACTCCATTGTCCAGTTTATATCCATCTGGACACACACAGGAGAATGACCCAATCTTGTTCTTACAGACAAAACCTTCAGGACATGAGTTGGGCTGGGCACATTCATCAACGTCCAGCTCACAGTTGTCCCCTGTCCAGCTCTTGTCACACACACACCCTCTAACTGTGTCACATGACCCGTGACTGCTGCACTGGCAGATGTTCTCACAGTTTTCACCATAGTAAGGTTTTTCACAGGCTGAAAATAATAGAATTCAGGTTTAAATATCTTCAATGTTGTATCAAAAGTTATGGAAATATCAGTAAAAATAAAATATTATAATTTATTTAAAATCATATTTTTTAATTATAAAAGGATTTGGAACCAGCAGGTCTTAAATATCATCTGAAATTGTTTAATAAAATATTGTTAGATTTTTTATTTAATCTTCAAACGAAATGTAGAAAAATAAAATACTCCTACATTAGAAACAATGTAATGTAGATACCATATCTATAATTTACTTTTTCGCTGTAGACTATCATTTTATAATTCTTTAGACTTTTTAGAAATTAGTTAATATTGAGCTATGTAAGACAATACTATCATGTACCATGTAGAGCATACCATTATCATTATGAAATATGTAAAAGCATGTATGATACACTGCAATTTTCTGTGATTACCTGCACAAGAGACTCCATCAGGCCCAAGTTTGAAGCCAGTGTAACATGAACATTGGTATGTCCCCAGCTGGTTGATGCAGCTTTGACTGCATGGCTTGTTGCCATACTCACACTCATTTATATCTGATCATTAATTAACAAACATTGGTTATAAAGAGCCTTTTGTCTGTATAGAGATGGTAGCATTAGTTGCTTGTTTTTAAGTTTTAAATATGTTAATCCAATTTTTTATTAGTTGCGATTATAAAACCAACTATTTTGTGTTTACTTTAATAGGTAGAACTAATTATATTGGTTTTTCTTTTTGATTTTTGAAAAATTAAGTACATTTAAAATATTATAATTTCATCATGCCCGTCAAGATTTGTAAGGTTTTATATTATTTTGTACCTATACAGTTTGTGTTGTCAGTTGGATCAACCTCATATCCAAGTCTACAGCTGCAGTTCACTTGGTTATTTGTCACACTACAAACCTGTTGACATTGGTAGCATTGCTCTCTTTGGCTACTGTCTGGTAAATAAAGGAGTGTAATTTATGTAAATATTTTATTAGAAATAAATGATAATAAATATAATAAGCTAGAAAATATGAATGTTTCAAAATTATTTCTCTTTTATAGTTTATTACAAAGTGTGTTATGAATAAAGACTATAATTGCTTAAATAATACAATTATTTCCAAAAGATGTGTTAGACAGCTAGTAATACATGATAATTTTTTTTTAAAAAGATATTATAATATACTTACAAGAAAGTTATTGCTAAATTCTAAACAATTGTTGCAACAAAAATGTAACATAATTTAAGTTATGAAAACATTCCTAAGTACAGATTTTAGAACAAATTTTTTTTTAAAGAAAAATATACATTTTAAATCTACCCATTGTATGTGTATATCAATTATCATCCAATTACAAAAAAACATTTACCTATTGTGCATGAATATCCATTATCATCAAGTGTGTACCCATTCTGACATGAACAGGAGTAGTTTCCCTTTGTATTGGTGCATTTTTGTTGACATTTTGATGTTCTCTCCTCACACTCATTAATTTCTGTCAGGCAAAATTTAACTTAATGTTCATGTTAACTTTAGTCTGAAAGAAATCAACTAACCTTTTCAGCTAAACATTTAATTGCAATACCAATAGGTAGCCTATTATTTCAATTTGTGCTCTTCAGTTGTGAAGCTTTACATTAATTAAATGAAGTTTAAAAAGAACTATTTATGGAATAATTAAATTAGGCATTAAACAATTAAATTTCCTTTTAGCAAATAATTTTTAAAATTGTTTATTCAAAATCTTACTTTGTAGTTCATGTTTGATTTTAGCTTATTTGATTTTAGATTTAAAACTGTAAAGCTACCTAAACAAGTTTTCTTTTCAGCTGTGTCCAGCCTGTAGCCAGACTGACAACTGCAAACAAATGAGCCTTCAGTGTTGGAACACACCTGGCTACATGGGCTGCTCACATTGCATTCATCAATATCTAAAAATAAAAAAAATTGATTAAAATATAATTATAGTCATTTAAAAATTCTCTAATTTATATAATAATGTAAAGTTTTAAAAAATCTAAATAAAAGATTATATTTAAGTGTGATTCTTCTTATCATTTAGTAAACAATTTTTGTGTACTATCATAAAAGCTAAAACAAAACATTTTACATACCAACACACTTTCCTTTCCAATCAAAAAATCCATTAGGGCAAGGGCCACAAGCATATCCAATAGAATTGTTTCCCTGTTGGGCAGCAGTGAGATCTGTACAGTTCTGTCCCTTGGAACATGGCTCTACTGCACAGCCATCAAGCTCAGAGTCACATTCTTGGCCTGGAAGATTGTATCATTCAATTGTGATTGAAAAGTTTAAAAAACGTGTATGTCTAACAAATTAAATTGTGTTAAATTTATTATCAACTCATTGATAAATTAAATACACACATACGCTCATATGTGCATGTCTAGTTATGATATAAATGCAACTATACCTTGAAATAAATGTTTTTAAAATTATTAGCAGTTGATAAAAAAGTTACAAAATACAAAGATACTAAATAAGGATTAATAAACCCATAAAACTTGTATAATTTTATTATTATTATTAAACAAAGTTTTTTAACATACAATGAAGACATTAATTTTATTTTTTAAGTAGATTTTTAAAAAAGAACACATGATCAATTCAAACCTTTATAAGCAGGAAAGCATTTACAGACTAATATTTGGAATTGACCATTCAGAAACTCCTGTTGTCTTGGAGTATTTGGATCACAGACACCATGTCCACTACAGAGTGGACATACAGTTATTGGGATGTAAATAGATGGAGAGACAGCACCCTTTGAGTCCTTTGCTCTGATTCTGTAACAGGAAAAACTAATTACTCCATGATATTTACTATTGCATGTTTGTTAAAATCTGGGTCTAGAATATTACAACGTCACTACTCCCACCCATTTTTATCCTCGAAATCAAATATTTCTGGATAATTACCTACCTCCTTTAGACTATATATAACAATACCTACAACTATCCCTACCATTCTTCATTTCCAGCTACCTATACCTAACTCTATCCCAATCCCTAAATTAAACAATACCCATCCATATCTCTGTCTCTAGCCTTTGAGTAATTGACCAGTAGAAAATAGTGTCCTGTTACAATATTCTTTAGTAAGGTAATCTACAGACGGGTGATTGATTAGAATTATTTAATAACAGGCAAACTTACTGGAGAAGAACAGGACTGTTAACATTAGGAGTGTAAGTTATTAATCCTGTATTATCAATGGTTACATCAGTGACATTGCCTAGGATTTCAAATGTTATTGCATCATGGTCCTCATCTTCAGCAATCAGTTGTAAGTTAGACTGAGTCCCATGTTTAACCAGCCAGCGGCCATTGGAGTTTAGACTATCATTTTTTACTGTCAGGCTTGGTGGATTATTTGCTGCAGATATAAACAGATAAAGTGTGTATACAAATAGAGTATGTGAAAATTTTTGTTTTGAAGACTAAAGAAAGCCTTTATCAAAGACTAACCTTAAATTATATACATTATAAAATTCATTAATAATTGTTGTTAATTTTGTTTCCAATTATCAATTTACTATTGTGAAAGCAATATAATCTATATCACAGGCAATTCTTTTGTACAATATGTGTTGTTGGATTGTTTGCTGCAGGTATTAAATAGATCTTATAAATTGTGCATAGATACAAGTGAAAATATATTATTTTGTAAAGGGTTAATAAGACTTCATCAAACGGCAACTTTAAAAATAAAGTAAGAAACAATACCTTATAAAGATATGATACAAAATAATTCTAGTTACTTTTATTCTTTTTCACAATCTACTATAGTGAACATTGCAGAACTTATTTTTTTGTTACTCTAATAAAAATTTATATTGAAGATTAAACATTAGATATTTTTATTTTTCAAAAATAGCACAATCAATAAATTCATACCTAAAATTTGGATAGTCACAGCCATCTGTTCACTAAAAGATTTTGTGTTCTCTGCAAATGCCTGGTCACCAGTGGCCAGGAAATCAAAAATACAAGCATCATTTTTATCTCCACAAATTTCAACAGCTTTGGCCACATCTTCAGGCTTAGCTTCATCTTTAAACATGGGAGTGAACTCTGGGTGCTGGAAATCTTCAGCTTTTTCTCCTGGTCCATACAAGAAAATAGATGTGCTTGCATTTACTGCCCCTTTGGAATGAAACAAATAGGTACATTTTTTAAGTGTATAAAATTAGACAATCTATTAAATTTTACCAATTATAATTTTTAAAATCTCATTTGCAAGCTATTAAAACTTGTATAAACACAATTGTATTTTTAAAAACAAAATAAACATGCAAATCAAATCTACTAGACTAGTTGTTTTAAAATAATGAACTTACATTTTTGAGAAAACTGCTGAAATACCTCCCTTTCACTCAAGTTTGCAGAAAGCACCTGGCCATCAGGAGTAATGAACTCATCTGTCTTGTCACCATTGAAATTTCCCAACAGGCCTCTGGTCTTACCCTGAAGATCTTTTGGAACTTCAAACATAATCTCAAGACATCTTACAGCAACATGAACATGAATTGTCACTCCTAGTAAATGATAAAGACAATATAAATTATATATTAACCTAAATAAATTCTAAAACTTAAGCTATTTTTATTTGCATTTTGCAGTATATTTTGAATTTATAATTAATTATGACATAATATAAACAATTCCATAATATCTACTTTGAAGACATACCACTGGCAAAGTTCACAACAGCAATGGTTCTGTTATTCTTGTATTCTCTTGTGATTTGAATAGAATCTGATGCAACAATGATCTCTGAGTCTGAATCTTTATAAAAATCATTTGTGATGTCCACACCATGTGACATAAGCAGCATTGCTGAAAGTATTAAAGTTAATATTTTTATAAATTTGTCAATAACCAACATTAATTAGTGAAGTTTAGAAATGTCATGTTATATAATGCTAGAACAGAATACAATATTATTTAATTAGGCTTTATTTTAAAATTTTAAACTATTTCACTTAACATTCACTATTACATAGTTACAATCTAATTAATGATTGAAAATATAAAAAACCTACTGGTATTAGATGATGAAAGCAGAACCTGGAATGTAGTTTGATTTGATTCCTTGACAGCAAATCCTATAAAGACAGTGGCACTTGAAAGAGTTCCATTTACTGTTACTGCTCTTCCTGTTCTTGTCTGGTATTAATAAACAAATATTTTATCACATAAATCTACTAAATATTGACATACAAATAGAATCTGTTAAAAGCGTGTCAACAATATTTGCCTTATCCCTACCTGAATGGTAAAGTTTTCACTAGGAATTTCCATCATACAATACTCGCCCCAACCATTCATGGCATAATTTAGACCATCTAATGTTGTTATTGTAGGATCACCCAAGGCTGATGCTGTAATTTTTATTTAAAAAATAAATTAATTTAATATAATTAAAAAACATAATTTGACAATATAGGCAATTAGTTTTAGACAAATAACGAATACAAATAGTAGTAGTCTAGACACACAAAACAGGTATAATCTATTGCTAACAGAATGAATGCATAAACAAGTATTACATTGTACTGTATTATTGATATTTGCCAAGAGACTATGCTTTAAAAACATTAAATATTAATCATGCTAAACAAAGATATGTTATAAATTATCTATAGTTTATATTAGCCTTTGCACAGCTATATAATAGGTGTGTACTTTATGGGACAAATGTAAAATCAGTCATAAACTTCCAGCAACTGACACAATGAATGACACATGAGAGATATAAGCAATCTAACCAAATTCTTATGTGTTCATTAGAAGAAATACATTGTTGATTATGCTGGGACAGGCATGACAGTTAACCAAAATCTAATCTTGAATTCACAAACCAACCCAGAAAAAAAAATTACCTGGAACAAACACCACAACGTTTGAGCATCCTTTGTCAGAGAAGACCTTAAAAAACCAGTCACAGTACTTTGCTTGGCTGGCATCCTTACAACACCACTGATGAGCCTGCATATTTTCCTGTGCTTGAAACAGATCATAGTTGCCTAGTGACCAGGGGTCCTTGATAAGTAGGTGACCTGATTCAGAGGATGCTGGGAGATAGGTGGCTTCTCTCCAGGTTTGTAGCCAGTCTCTCCAGTCATCATTGTTTGGTTTGGTCCAGCGGTAGCAGCAGAGCTAAATGTTTGACAAAACCAGGCATTATTTTATTAAAGGAATTAATAGTTCAAATTTGTTAATCATAAAAATCATTGCATGAACTTTTAAATTCTATTAAAAATAGCATGTTTTATATGTATTAACACAAACCATATTTCTTTTATTTCCTTTTAACATCCTTCGTTTAGCAACATTGCTGATGGAGTAGCAGTAAATGTCTTGTTTCTCTCCACGTTTCTCATAGAGCTGCCATTGGCGTCCCAACCTCTCCAGTGTACATGGGCATGTGTACAACTGCTGTTTATCATACCTGAATACAGGATCATCAAGCAGGTAGCTGTTGCTACAGATGTACTGGTAGCATTTTGTATCATAACTGGACACTTGACCAACCTCAAAAGCTGTGATTCCTGTATAACCTGCAAATAAATATTAAATACTTTTAAATAAATCTACATGTACATATGTATCTATTTATACATGTCTAAATGTATTTAATGATGCATATATTTACATTTTAAATTTGATATTATTTATTAATATTGTGTAGCTGTTATGTTATAAACCTTTGTTTCCTGGAAGAGTTGAGAGCTTGACTACAAGTGGTGAATTCAAATCAGCTACAAAATTTTGGTTGTTGTTTCCTGTTGTCCCAATCACTATTGGTCTCTCTGGAACATAGTTCCATGACATTTGTCCTTGTTGGTAAATAAAGATGACATATGCTGTCTCCTCTTCTGTAAAAACAAATTACAATATATTTATTTATTTATATAAATATATTTATATAAACTAAGAAGTATATTTTGTTAAAATCCCTTTATAAACAGACATACATTTTGTAAATGTATTTTTAAATACTTAATTTGCTTAATAATTAAATACTAAAAACTAAATTGAACATTTATTAAGTAAAACGTCAACCAATTAAAAATATATTTCCAAAGAAGTAAATTTGTTCAAAAATACTAATATATTAAATTTATAGGAAACTAATGCAATAAGTCCAAAATAGAAAAAACATTTTTAAAATATTTGAATTTCAGACAACTGTGGTCGGCAAACTTGCTTTATTCTTATTTGAATTTTAATGAACATCGATTTTACAAAAATTAATCAAGATTAATTTGTCTTTTATATAGTCAATATATGTGCAAAAAATTAACTTTAAACTTTTGTTGAATTATATTTTACTAGCATATCAAGAGTAATATAAACCTACACAAATGTAAAATATCTCCATTTCAAATAGTTTTAAGAAAAAACAAATTTTGTATTCAATTCATTGTCATACAACTTTATATAAAGGTATAAATAATGTTAATATTTTATGAAATTTTAATTTTTACTGTGTATTGTTATCCTTCCATTTACAGTCTCTGTTTCCCAGCCACTCACATAAATGGCTTGAATAGTGTTGAACTCCTTAAACTGAAAATTGAATAGTATAATTGTTATTTTATACCAGTTAATCTATTGGAATCATCAAATCCCTAAATAATTCACTCCATTTCTCTTTTTCTTGTAAATTGTACAGTGTCATACTCTCAAAGTGTGATTTTATGTATAAACTTATCCCTCCTATTATTAATTTGTAAACAATATAGGCTACTAGCCTTCGGTACCTGTTACACGTGACTTTTAGGCCTATATATTTTTAATGTTATACATATTTGGAAATAATAAGTCATAAAATATTTATTGATCAAAATGCAACACTACACGGTGATATATTAGTGACAAAGCAAAGAAATAACTAAATAGCTAAAAATCTTGCTAATTTAAATAAACAAAGGCTACAAATATCCTAATATTTTATAAAAATAATTATTGGTCAAAACGCAATGTGCTTTACTACACATTGAACAATATTAGCGACAATGCAAAGATATAACTAAATAGCTAAAAATCAGACACATTTTAAAATAACATAGACTTCTAATATGTATTTGAAAAATTAATACCAAATTATACACATTATTAGTCAACAGAACACCTTATTAAATGCACACGATGATTAAAAGAATTAAATGATTCCGGAAAAACCTGGCTATTCAATGGTCATTATGTTTTTTTTAAAAGTAATTTGTATTAGTTTGACCGATAAAATTGAATACATTTCGTAGCATACGCCTATAGATCTAGATCTAAATCAAGTTTGAATGAAATAGTTCCTTTTTTTACATTTTAAAATTCACATATAAAAAAACAAATAAAAAATAAATAAAAAATCAAGATTGACTTGGTGTGTCTCGAACCCGTACCATTTGCATGGTATCAAGTACAATGTCATCTTAGCTATTTGGGCACCTTATTAATTTTGAAGAATAAAAGACATACTTAAGAAATTTAACTTACGCAAATAGGCATATTCTTTCAAATTAATTTTATCCCAAATAAGCCAATTCCATAGCTAAACAAACAAGATTTCTATAAAATAATTAAGGCCTGAAATAGTTTAATATAGAAATTTATTATTGGAATAGATTCTAGAGTAGATAGCAGTGGTGGAACTAGAAAAAAAGGGCCACCCCGCAAAGAAATTTTTTGGGCCCCATATATATATATATATATATATATATATATATATGTATATATATATATATATATATATATATATATATATATATATATATATATATATATATATATATATAAACAAAATTCGAAAATACCAACACAGAGTACTGATTTCGGGCTTGTTCGAGTTTTAAAAAATATTTAACATAGTTATTATTTTTTTTAGAAATTAAAACAATTTACAACAACACGTCACATTTCTGTGAGTGCTATTAGACTGAAAATATCTGTTTTAATATATGTTTTCTATAATGCTACCAACGATTAAGTCGGTCAAAAGAATATGAAGCATAAAAGCTTTGTATGTGTATGGTTTCTCGCGTTAAGTTTATTTTTATGTTTTTTTTTTTTATTTATATTATTAGTTTTTTATAAATTTCCTTTTTATGCTTTGTCATTCTTAATTATGTTTTTTTAAAATAATAATTAAGAGAAGTAATTGCTTTTAAATTTGTTTAGTGCAAATCTATTAAAAGGTATTTGAGAGCACACATACTTGCTATTTAAAAAAGGGAAATAAGTCATGGATGTGGTTTGAACGTTTGCCTATTATTCACGTGATTTTCAAAAGAATTTTTCCGATAACAGCGTGTGTTTGATTGTTGGAGAAAGAGGACTCATTTTACAGCTCCCCCACCCCACCGAACGAAATGAAATTTATATAATTTATATAGAAAATATAAACTTTCAACAGTGTCCGCCTCCCCCCCCCCCCCGAAGAAAGTCTACCGGCCCCCCCCCCCCCACGAAAATTTCAAGTGCCCCCCCCCCCCCCGTAGACAAAAGTCTGGAAGAAACACTGCTCGGGATGGTGTCTATAGAATAAAGATAATGAAACCGCAGCTATAGTATTCTTTTTACAAAACAACCATCAAGTCAAATATGCAACAAAGTTATTTTTTTTAACTAAAAAAAATTGATTATGGTCGGCTGTGGGCCCCTAAATGACCCGGCCCCCCCCCCCCCCGCATTGCGGGGTCTGGCGGCACTGTAGTTCTGCCCCTGGTAGATAGTCTAAATCTACATCTAGGGTCCAGATCTTAGCGTCTACATCTAGTTTTTGCCTAGATCTAGTCAACTAGTCTAGATCTAGAATCTCTAGATTCCAAATAGATAAAGTAAATTTTATAAGTTTAGGGCGAGAAAATTGTATTGTATAGATCTAGAATTAGATTTCATACCGTACGCCGATCTAAGTCAAAGTTGAATGAAATAGTTCCTTTTTTTATATTCTAAACTCGGAAGATGACGTCATTAGTTGTGTGCTCTTTCCTTAGTATAAACATTATTAACTACATTGTTTCATGCATTAAAACTGTTTTTCTACATTCGAAATTGCTTTCATTTTTTTTCTTTAAATAAAATTTTGTTTATACATTTAAAACATCTGCCATATTATTTTTAACAAACGTCCGTATCAAGTTCTCCATATATCGCTGAAGATTCCTATGTGATAAGATATTCTGCGAAAATATTTTGCGGACACAGAGAGAGAGAAGTGCACACATTGGCTTTTATATATTAGGATATGAATACAGTTGCATCAAGTAATATCCTGAGTTAAATTGACTGTTGTAATATTGAAATTACAGAAATTAACTCTAGCTCTCCTTACTTTTTTAGATGGTGCAAATGGTTGAACATTCTCCCAGGTGACAACTAGAGCTTTATTAACTTCAAAACCAGAGAGTGAGAAATATTTCTGTACATCCTTGCTGGCCCTCATCATTACTTGTACCAGGGCTGGGGACTCCATGTCATTTGTATCAGAGAAAACATGGCCGCATCTTTCATACAGATGGTAGTAGACATTGCCTGTTTGGTTACACACAATGTGAATCATTAGGGTACAATTTAGGTGTTACAAAATACTAACTAAAATAGAAAAATACATTTTTTAAATAAATTAAATTAGAATTAACTGTTTTAAAAAAACTCAGACAAAAGTAAAATAACAAGCAGGAAGTGTTACCAATATCAGGGTCAATGTCAGCCCAGTAGGCAGCTATAATGTTAAGTCCTTTCTGACTGGCTAACTTCAAATTAGGGGTGCCACTTAGTGTGATTGGTTGGGATCCAAAACCAAACACACCATTAGACAACACCTATGAAGAATATTAAACATTTAGATAGTTTAGAAAATAAGCATGTATAAGTCTAATTAATAAATTTGTCAAAACTGGAATATTCTTTTACATTTATTATAGGCCCTACTTTAAATCATAATAATTCACTATACATAATTTATTATAAATATAAATTTTAAGATGGCCAATTATAGAAATATGCATAGGTCTATAATATATAATAATTACTTACATAAGCTTCAGGCTGTGTTGCGTTGTTAAAGGGAGCCCCAGAAATAAATTTGATTGGTGTGCTGACCAGGTAAGTCGATTCAGTCAATATGTTTTCTGAAAGCTTTTTGTCATTTGCAGCTTCTCCATATATGTAGTAAGGCACTGTGAGAAAAAATAACTATTAAAAAATCATTATCTGCATGATTCATTACTATAGTAAAAAATGTTGTTTTATTTACAACTAATATTTTTTCGTTATGAGAAAAAAAGAAAATAATCATAGACTAAGTTATGTTCAAGTTTAAAAATATTAAATATACAATAAAAACTGATATTTAGACCCAAGATCTATGTCAGTATAAAACATTTTAGGCTGGGTATAAACACATAAGCAAAATCCTTACTAAACTTGTATTTTTTTCTAGATTTTAAGCAGGTTAACAATGAGCACTAAGATTTCAATAAGCTTTACTTTTCCAGATATATTTTACTATACAACATACCAATACAGTCTAAGTGGGTGTCTTTGTCGAGTTCTAAATCATATGGACATAAACACTGTTCTTCACCAACTCCCAAAACAGTGCAAGCATGTGAACATTTTAAGATTGTGCATTCTGTACTAACTGTATTTAAAAAAAAATATTTGATTATTTACAATAGAAAAATACTAACATATAAAAAATATTATATATTTGTGATATGTTTCTTCTTCTGATAAAAGTTGCAATCTAATTAATGTACTGTAACATTAATAAAAAAATAATTAAATAAATATCCAAAGTATTGGTGTAGACCTAGGCCTATTCTTATACTCACCATCACAAGTTCCTGTTGTTGCATTCATCACAAACCCAGGTAGACAACTGCATGCGTAACTGCCAGGGGAGTTTATGCAGAAGGAATTTTCTGGGCAGACTTTTTTGTTTGTTGCCAGACATTCATTGACGTCTGCAGAACAATCTCCCATGGTCCAGCCTGGCTTACAGATACACTCGCCATTGGTGTTGTCACAGAACTGGGTGTTTTCTTTCACACATTTACAGCTTGTGTCACATGATGTCAGGCCATAGGTGAAGCTACGGCAAACTATATATAAAATGTATTCCTATATTAACGAAAACTTACTTCCAATTCCAACGAAAACGTAATATAATTAGGCCTATATAGTATATTAAAAACATCTAGCTCATTTTTTGGATGAGAAGGTGTGGTCGTATAATCAGAACATAATTCCTAATTTAAAAGACTCTAACTGTATTTCATGGCTTGAGATAGGAAACAATATTCCCTAATCCACCAATTTACTATGTGTAGCTTACTTGAATCAAGTTGAGGGAGTTAAAGGTCCATGGATATAGTCAGAGCAAACAATCCCTTCTTATTTCAACTTTAAAAACAGATAAACTATATTTAAACTGCAGTATAAACCGCATTCCTTTAGTCGGAAAAGAAAGAACTTCTTTATTTCCTACCTGATTATTCCGTATATTAAAATAAAAATTAAAAAATTACATTTGATGGTGAAAGAATGATTATATGTTATATTGAAACAAATGTTTTACCATGTGATGTGTAGCTGCCATAAAAACTTGCATAAGAGTAGCTATAGGTATTAACATAGACAAGATACATTTGATTTCCCTTTGTCCTGATGATACTAGGAATTCCATATATACAATAACGACCAATAAATCTTCCTGCAGGACTGTTTCCATCGTATGCTTCTAGGTAAGACAACGCGCATTTGTAGTCAGAATACAGGTAAAAGCTATCAAATCTGTAAAAAAAATGCATTAAAGCATTATTATAAAAAGCTTTTAAGTAATAAATGCTAAAAAGGAGAAACAACTATTTAAATATATAATAAATGAACTACTATTTTAAATAACAAAAAGGAAAAGTTAAATTAAGTGTTAATACTTATACAAGAATTTAAAAAGCGATCAGCGCATCTATTTGTAGTCATGTAACTAGTAGTTAATTATTCTATATTTAAAGTAAAGCATTTGTTTTCTCCTTTTTAGTGTTTTAATACATTAAAGTTTATTATTACAGCAGATTAATACGCTTTTATTTAATTTCCTTCCTCTCTCGTTCTTCGACCGTCATAGATCGAAACTGCAGAGCGCAATTTCGAGCACTTCTAACAGACCGATTCGTTTCCAACTTAACACGTGGGTCGAGACCCGATGACAATGCAATCTGATAGAATAAATTAGGCACACAATTAAGTAAAATTTGATGTCAGACTGCATTTTCATCGGGTCATTGACCCACGTGCCAGGACAGAGAGACAGACGGAGGAAGCATGTTAGATAAAAGACTGCAATAAAAAGGAAAAAAAAAGTCTCTCAATCTAATTACTTTCTTTAATTTCAAATGTTATAAAAGCTGTCTTGTAAAGGGTTTATTTGAGTGAAAACTATGAAATTGAGTCATTTCAGAATTTTAAAAATTAAAACTGCAAGCATGAAAACTTTAGGCTTAGGCCCTATATACTATTTCGATATATAGGGATTGTAGTCAATAGTACTGAGATTTAAATACAATTAAATTATCTAGCCTGCTCATTTCTCTAATCTCATATCTTTATAGACCTACATCAAGAAAAAAACGACTTCGTTTCGGATTGATTTTTATGTTTTAAACAAGAATTTGTTATTTACATTTCTTTTGATAAGTAGGCCTAGATATTTCCATTATTAACTAATACTTTCTAAATTCTATTAGTTCTACTTGTTGATGTGCTAATATATAGGCCTTATAATATTTGGTCTGACTGTATCATTTAGGAGTACAGCCAAACCAATACTGAACTTAGTACAAGCAGTAAAGAATTGAGACAAAAGGGCTAAAAAAATTAAAGACAAAATTTACTTCAGAGAGACAACTTTCCCCGCTTCAACAGTAATAGACCAGTAGCAGTTTGCATTACGGAAGAAGTTGTATGATGGATTAGGGCTTATTACCGATTCTGAGGCATTTGTTAACACGTGGTTGCAGTCTGTTGAATGAAAAGACAGTGATGCTTTTTGGCGAGCAAACACAGATAAAAAATGTTTGTTCTTAAACACGGGTATTTTTAGTTAAAAGGGATGTTTATTTCACTTATATATATATATATATATATATATATATATATATATAGAAATACCTAAAAACATAGAAGAACATTCACGATTAAATGGATTACCTAGTTGCACACAGGTCCCATCGCTTGATTCATAATACCCATAATTGTTCTCGCATGGGCAAATATACCCTCCAATTGTGTTAGCACAGATACTGTTTTGTCGACAATTGTATGTTCCTTTGGTGCATTCATCAACGTCGTCAGTACATTTGGACCCAGTAAAATTTGACGTGCAGTTGCAAGTGCCATATCTCTTGTGGCAAGACAGAATGTTGCTATGGACACAAGGACAATCTAACCTGCAGTCCGGTCCATAAGTTAAGTTTGTGCAATCTGACAATTGTGAAAAATTATTAAATTATGTTATCACTGTGTAGTATTATCATAGTGTGACACTTATAATCATTATAAATAACTTTTAACTTTACAATACTCCACTTATAAAATATTAGTTATATTTTCCACTTGTCAACTGGTAGGTCGATTAATTTAAATATTCTATCATGCACTTTCTAAAATATGATCACATTGTTTGCCTACTCTATACTCGAAATCTAAAATAACTGCTTATCAAAATCGTTTACTAACCAAAACATTGATCCCCTTGTAGCTTCATTCCCATTGGACAATAGCACATCTCTACAGGTGAACTTTGACCTTGTGGTGTTATGCTAACACATACGTGGGAGCAATTTCTCTCAGCAGACGTTGGACATTCAGCACCAGGACTTACTGTTGACAACATCATTTACTTTATTTTCATATAATTGTATTTGAGCATAAATTAATACAGGCTACATAAAACAACCACAGTTAACTCTAAAAATAACGTTAGCTTGTTTAAAAATGGTAAACTTTATTGAAAATATTTCGCTATTAATCTCTATTTCATTTTTTTTTTATAAAAACTGTTCTAATTTAAATAAAAAGTAATAATTTATCTGTAATATTTCTAATTTTATAACTTACTAACGCATGACGCATTGTCAGGTGACTTGACCATTCCTTCTTTGCACAAACATTCGTAGCCGCCAATTAGATTATTGCAGTCTGTGTAGTCAGGACAAACCCATGGTGTCTCCTGACATTCATCCACATCAACCGAGCAGTCAGACGATTTCCAGGTCGGCTTGCAGACACACTCACCAGTGAGGCTCATGCATTTTTGTGAGTTTGGAATCACACAAGGGCAAGGTGTTGAGCAATTGGCATCATGGAAAAATTCGGGACACTCTTAGTAAAGATAAAAAAAAAATCTGTCGTATAAAACATGAAAAGATTTAAATATCAATTGTAAACAAAAAACTATATGAATTAAACAGAAGAACTTCAAAATATTTTAAGTTATTTTATTCAAATAAATATCATAGGCAATATCTTCAATAATATTTTTAAAAATAAGTAAACGGTCTAATATTTTGAACTATATTTTCCAATAATATTCAAATTAGTTATGTTACATGTTTCACTGTATACACGAAAGTACAATATATTAAGCAAGTGGCATTTCATTTTATAAAACACATACTAAACCTATACATCTTAGTATTACCATGCATCCAGTAAGAAGCAGTAAAACCAGTAGAATAAGTTGTGTACTGTACAGCGTTTCTAGTTATAAACATTTTATTTCCCGAAGATCGAATAAGTTGAATGTTAGAATTAGCATCATAATACTGATCATAAAACGCTGCTAAAAGATTTGAACTCGAGTTGACTCCATCGTAAACATAAAGAGAGTGGTAAACCCACTGATATTTAAAGCGCAATCTGAAAACAAAAAAAAGCAAAAAATTAATGCAGGTATATTAATTACAAGCAGATGAGCTCCATAATATTAATTACAAGCAGATGAGCTCCAGAGCTGCATAAAATCAGTAATCTCAATATTATGAAAATCCTATTTTTTGCAGAAGTTTTAAGAAATCTGATATTTGGGTATGCCAGTCTGTCACCAGGTTATGTATACCGTTAATACAGTATGAGCGTAATGTAATTAAAAGATAGGCGAATCAAAGAAATATTTTTTTGAGAAAAGCCAGTGTGATTGCTATTAGGAAGTTACTGTAAACTAAAGTGTTTTATTTTTACTTATTAAATTTTACAGCAATGACAGGTTGATCGATTCACGTGAATCTTCACTAGATATAAAAATATTTCAAAGAATTTTATTTTATTTTATTGACTTACTGTAAAGTGACAAGCTGCCCAGGAGCGGCTTGTAATGTCCAGTTACATATTTGTGTCTGCACATTGAAATATTCTTGAACATAATTGTCAGATTCTATTATCCCGGTAGACATCTGCAAAGTTTTACCACATTCTGAAAACGAAATTTGCCAAAATGTTGTAAATGCGAATTCCCATTGTGGTCATCAAGCAATATGTTTTAGAGGTAGTTTGTAGTAATTGATTAATGATGTCGAGCTGTTAATAATGGCATATTGAAGTGTGTATGCTTTGTCCACCCTTATAACCAACCCCCTAAATTAAGCATCAATATGATGTAAATGTAAAACGAATTTTTTTAAACCATATCTATCACACATCTTAATTAACAAAAAACGTGCTACGAGTCTATTAAGCAATAAAAGGAAATATAGAAAGTATTTTTTAAATGAAAGTCGTGTTAGGTGGGAGAGGTCACTGTTGCTAAGGGCTGGACTAAGGGCAAATGATGTTCGTCAGCTGGAGACATCAACCCATGTAGGAGAGAAAACGCCAAAATCAAGCAGCTACTGCATTGCAGATTATTCTTGGGTGGACAAGGGCTAAAGAACCAATTTAGAAAGGAAGTCGGAGTCAATGGCAGTGTTAGGTATAACATTATGAACAATATTTGTAGGAGGGAAGCAAACTACAATTAAGAAAACAAAAAAAAGAAAGAAAAATGAAAACTGCTTGAATAAATTTGCTCTCTTACCATCGCAAAATGTCTTGTTGAAAGACTCGAAGTTTTTTATACATCTACAGTCGAAAGATCCCTCGGTATTGTAACACACAGCGTTGTCGTGTCCTACTGTACAAGGTGGTTTCTGTAGAATACACTCATCAACATCTTGTTCACAGTTTTTTGCAAACCACTCCAGTTTACAGTTACACAGTCCCGTCACTTTGTTACAGGACTTAGTGTGATCAGGGACACAACTACAGCTATGTTCACAGTTGTCTCCAAAGGTCCAATCGTCGCATTCTATTTAACACAAAAATTAATTGTTAAAAATAATTAAATTTACAGTAATTTAATATTTAATTAAAAAATGGTTTAAAAATATATTCATAATAATATATACTTAATGTTTAACAACTATTAATGCATTGTTATATAATGAAGATGAATTAAAATAATCTTTTTTTTTTAATTTGGCTTTTGGCAAATATTTTTGAAATAACAGCAGTGCATTTAATATTTTCTGATAAGTATTTTTGAATAAGAAAAAATCACTCTATATTTTACAGTGTATGCCGATATAATAAAATTATGTCAGTAAAGTAAACACCGACCTTGGCAAGTCTTGTCATCTGTAGCACTTAACCTCATGCCTCTAGGACAGTAACAAACTTCCGTCCATGGATCTGTTGATGTCACGCCGCAGGCATGGGAACACGTTTTTGTCTTGCATTCTTTTACATCTGTGGGTAGGTTAGTTTTTATCAGATCATATTGTATGTTTCTCACAAAGACCGGGTGGCCTACTAGTAGACTTAATGTCCAAAAAAACGTGATTTTTTATTGGACATTGGCCCGATGGTTCATGAAATGGTTAGTGGTCACCGATCAAAGTCCGAGTTAGAAGATTATGAGCATTTTTATGATGCAAGCTGGGAGCTTAAAAACGAGAGATTGATGTTCCGCGGACGCTTAGCCTAGTCAAAGAGTTTTTGTTCGGAGCAGTGTTTCTTTCATGTATCTTTCTCGGTGGGAGAGGGGGACGGGGGATGGGGCTTACTAAATATTCGATGCGGAGGGGGCGGGAGACACGATTAAAGTATATATTTTGAATATAAATAATAATGCATCAAGAAATTATGTGTACATTCTTTCTTTTTTTTTCTTCACAAGTTATAATTTGATACATAACCTTTCCATAAAAGTGTGCAATTAAAAAAAACGTAAAGTTATAAAAATTTTAAGCACATTTCAAATATTGGTTGATGAATTCATGTCTGTATCGCTCATATAAGCACACATATAACAAACGCATATATATATATATATATATATATATATATATATATATATATATATATATATATATATATGGGCACTTAGTTTTTTATTCTACTTTTAAAAATGTGTCAAGAGTAAATTAGTATACACTAGATTCTATTACCGTAACAAGCTCCGGTTGTGATGTTTTTCTGTAGCCCAGGTTTACACAAACAATCGTAGCCAGCCTTGGTGTTGCTGCACACAGAGTAGACATCTACACATATGTTTGGGTCCTCACACTCGTTGATGTCCACTGAACAGTCCCGGCCTAACCATCCCGGTTTGCAGTTGCAGCTGCCGTTTTGGTTGTTGCAGTATTCTGTGTTTTCTTGGTCACACACGCAGGGTGTCTGGCAGTAATCAAGTCCGTAGAAAAATTCTGGGCATGCTGTAGAGAATTGGATTGTGATCAAGTTAAAAAGTTGTGTGCGTGTGTGAGTGTGTGTAGGTGTGTGGTTACAAAATGGAATGATAGAAGAAAAATATACAGGGGGAAATATTGTGTCGTTATGCATCTTTCGTGCATCTCTTTAGGTGGCGCAGCACATCCCCCCCCCCCGAAGCATATCCACAACATCCACCACGAAAGAAAAAGAAAATATGTATATGTATATATATATATATATATATATATATATATATATATATATATATATATATATATATATATATATATATATATATATATATATATATATATATATATATATATATATATATATATATATATATATATATATACTAGCGTACCCGTCCCCCGCGCGTTGCCGCGAGGATAGAAGAAAGTTTGACGAATGTATTAGGATTTCACCAACGCGTTACCAATCATATGTTCTTAGACGCGTGACCGTCTTTTCTAAAAGTGAGTTATTTAAATGTAAACAATGCCTGCGCTTGGATCATAAATATCGGGACACGGGTTTACCTACACTACCGCATGAAAACATTGAGTGTACATTAATCGCTCACCGAAATGATATGGTAGAATACACTTCGGTGACCACCCATGTGTCAGAGACGTAGAGGGGCGCTCTCAGGGCCCCCACCCCCCGATTACACTACCGCATAGGCGCGGCGTACGACCCCTGGCTCCTTAAAACTAAAAGGCGCCATCGGCCAAATAGCATCCTGTTAATAATGATGCAGATTTCGTCATTCGCTAAAGTGACACAAATTAACAGGATTTTTTTCTTTAACACGTAAAAAAAGTATTTGACGTGTTTTAAACATCAGTGTGACTGATCAATATGCTAGCGTTACTAATGGTCTATTGTTAGATGCTCGATCACAATTTCTGACTGAATTGTCTAATAATAGATGCTTATTGCATCATTCGCAAAGTGACGAAACTCTAGAGTAGGCTCCTCACATTCAAAAAGTTATTTTTTCATCTTTGGCAAGGTGACGAAAATGTACAGAAGGATTTCCTCTCGTTACAAAGTTATTTTTAGAAGCCTGTTGTAGTTTTACCGCTGAATATAGTAGTACTCCTTACTCGCAATGCAGGACGCTCGATTAACGTATGCTAAGTGCCAACATAGTCGCTCTAAAACTCTGGGCGCCAAACCGTGTATTGACGAAAGTTGTACCCTATATGGCGCCGCCCTTATGAAACTTTAGTTCTCTTTTTCGCAGAAATATTCTCGGGATTATTCTCATCTGATCCCTAAAGTTTCATGGCACTCGGATGAACCGCATCCGATTTTTTTTTATATACCGTGTATAGAGAAAAAAAATCGCTCCCCCCCCCCGGAGGGCGCCGCCCTTGCAATAATAAACAATATTTTTTTGCAGAACCCTACTATTAAGTGATCTTATCATCTCTCCAAACTTTCATGGTACACGGATGAACGGTGTGAAACCGAAATAGACTTTTATTTTTATAAACCGTAGGCCTATATAGAGAAAAATCGCAGCCTCCCGTGGCGCCGCCCTAGCGAAATTTAAAAAGGATTTTTTTTACAGAACCCTTCCCTGAATTGTTCTAATCAACTCCCTCAAAGTCTCATGGCTATCGGATAACGGTGTCACACCTTTTATTTTTATATACCGTATATAGAGAAAAATCGCACCCTCCCGTGGCGCCGCCCTTGCGAAATTAAAAATGATTTTTTTACAGAACCGTTTCCTAGAGTTTTATAATAAACTCCCCAAAGTTTCATGGCGATCGTGTGAACGGTGTCACCGCAATTCACTTTTATTATTTTTATATGCCGCATATTGAGAAAAAACAAATCGCGCCCTGCCGGGGCGCCACCCCTGCAAATTTGAAAATGTTTTTAGCGCAGAAATCTTCCTAGTAGTATTCTCTACATGTTTCCAAAGTTTCATGGCGATCGTGTGAACGGTGTCACCGCAATTCACTTTTATTATTTTTATATATGTATTATAGAGAAAAATCGCACCCTCCCGTGGCGCCGCCCTTGCGAAATTACAATTATTTTTTTACACAACCCTTCCCTAGAGGGTTATAACGAACTCCCCAAAGTTTCATGGCTATCGGATGAACAGTGTGAAATCAAAATAGACTTTTATTTTTATATATGGTATATAGAGAAAAAACAAATCGCGCCCTGCCGGGGCGCCACCCCTGCGAATTTGAAATTTATTTTTCGCAGAAACCTCCCCAGGAATATTCTCAACAACTTCCCGAAGTTTCACGGCGATGTGATAAGAGGTGTGGTAATGCATAAAAGACACACACACAGACACACATACATTGCTTTATATATATATATATATATATATATATATATATATATATATATATATATATATATATATATATATATATATATATATATATATATATATATATATATACATATACATATATATATATATATATATATATATATATATATATATATATATATATATACATACATATATATATATATATATAATTCTCTTTATGGGTAAGACGATGCAAGCTGACTATCTAACCCACATCGCACCCCCTCACTCGCTCTCCAGGCATGCGCAACAGACCATTTCTCAACCACCCCCACCCCTACCAGTCAGTTGAGCTATGGTTCACCCCAAATGTTTACAATAGTAGAGCCGGTCGATGCCTATTAGGGGCAGATAATTTAGCTTTTAAACGATTTAAAACTGTGGTAAGAAGTTTAGCTTGGTCTTTTTTGTCGTCTGTAAACTGTCGTCACGGACGGCTGCTTTTACGGGGCGCGTAGAAAATAAAACAACTAAATAGTGGCGTATGCTACACCGCGGGTCGGCTCGTAATTTTTTTTTAATACAATATTTAACCAGTATCCGACCCCATGGAAATTTAAGTCCGCCAAAAATGTCTGAAAGAAGCACTGCCTTTGTGTATTAATTAGGACGAGCACATAAGAAAGTATCGTTTTTATAGGGCAGATAAATAGGTTTCATATGTTTATTGGTCTCGGCACATTCAGGAAGGATGTGGTCAGCATAATCCCCAGCCGTCGTTACTTTACCTACTGTGAATCAGGTACACATCAGAGCTGGATGGACTCAGGGACCGCGATCTGAACTCGGGATCTTCCGGCAAGCATGCGAGCACTCCACCATTCAACCACGCTGTCCCATCTAGCCCATTAGGGATAATTTTTTTTTCAAATGTGTTGTATTTTTCTTTGTACTTCGGTTTAAAAGATACCTTAATTTTACGTTTTGTGTTGTTTTTTTACCTATGTTTATTAAAACCGTGTATTCTTGTAAGCCTATGTCGCAATAAAAATTAATTATGCATGTACTATGTAAGTTCTTACTCTGAGCCCAATACGAGGCGCTAAACCCTGGCCTTGACCCCGATGAATCGGATCTCATCTCGATATACAACTGGTAGCCGGTGGTCCTCACAATAATGTTGGCGGTGCTCGCGTCATTTTGGTACCCACAGTACGTGCCAATCAAGGTGGATCCAGAGTCTGGACCGTCGTACAAATTGACGTAATCGATACAGTATTGGTCGTAATACCGTTCAAGATCAAGCCTTTTAAACCTAAAAAAAAATATTCACAGTCAAAAACTTGTGCTCAATTAGGTTGACTTTAACCATACATGAAAAAGTGGATGGTTCGCTACACCATAACTATGGGACTAATTTTGATAAGATGAAAGCAATATTATTATTAAAATAACCTGGAAGTTCAAATGTAAACAAATTTAATAACCAATAAAATTAAAACGGATGTCTTCGAAATATTTAAACATTATTTTATATTGTCATCATCGAATACTTTATGAAATCAAACATCTAGGATTACTTTGAGTAAACTACAGTAATATTGTACCTGTAATTCGATGATTGGCATACACATTTGTTTTATTTACCTGAAATCGATAACTTGTGACACAGAAACGGTGACGGTCCATCCGCAGATGGTATTGTCAGGATATGACTCTGGGAAGTTGGGAGACATGATTGCTCCAGCCTGGTCAGTCAATTTGCCGCCGCAATCTGAATGTTCAAAATAAATTATCATATATGTAACTGGGGTAGGCCTAACTACCAGTTACAAATGATAACGAACGAGAAGCCGAAACGCAGTGTTGGTCTGATGCAACCGATAACAGGTGGCTTATTGGGTCGGGCTGATAACAACCTCAAAGCCAACGCGTGCTATTTTGGGAAACGGTATTCAGACGGCCTGTCAACTTTGATGGATAGGACGCAGATGTTATTTTACGGTCTGTACGTTTGAACTACGCAACTGGTGGTCGGAGATCGAGTACAAGTATCGATTACGGAGGAATACAAGTACGGAAACGAGTACGGATACAAGGCATAAATAGGAGGGGACAGCAGGACTCGTTCTCTCTCTCTCTTCCCGTTTCAGCGAGCTCTCTTCCATCTTCATCGCTCGCTTAGATCAGTCAGTCTGTGTGACTATGTCAAGTCGGTTATAGAACGGGTTAGCCGTATTGTGTTAAGGAGGATTATAGACATGTGGATTCAGTTATATAAAGCCTAGTGAAGGACTGTTAGGGGTCAGTTGATTCAGACTATTATTGAGAAGCATTCCTGTTGATTTATTGTGTTATTATGAAGCATTTCTTGATTCATGTAATAAAGGATCAATAGCGAACCTGCATCTTGAGTATCTATACTGTGGTCAATGTTGTCTAGAATGAGTGGTTAAACTCGTTAACACGTGGCACTACAGGCAATTAGGTCTCATTACATGTGGCGTTGCGAGCATGGTAACTGTTGGCTCGTTACAATTGGCGTTGTCGGCAGGATAAATGTTCGCTCGTCACAATTGGCGCTGCGAGCAGGGTAACTGTTGGCTCGTTACAATTGGCGTTGTCGGCAGGATAAATGTTCGCTCGTCACAATTGGCGCTGCGATCAGGATGAATTCAACTAGACTTGCCGTTTAAGGCACCTATAGTCAACCTTGTGCATAACTGTGTTTAGTGTGTGTGTGAATTCGGACATTCAGGAACTGTGAAAATTGAGGAACGAGGAAAAATTTTTTCATACACACACGGTAAGAAAGAACTCTTTTTTTTTTAGTACTTAAGGAAGAAAATGTCTACTCTGGACGAGAAGCAGACCCATATAGTGGTCCTACCCAGAGAGTCCCATATTAACAAATTTTACGGGGACGGAGACCCAACTTTAACCAACAGGTTCAGTGAAGAGGTCAAAGCGGCCTGGGCCTCGAGACATATGTCACCAGAGGAAAGATTAAGACTGCTGATGGGTAGTATAGGTGAAACGGTTAGGGCAGAGGTTAAGTGCCACGATAGGACCGTCCAATCAGATCCAGATAAGGTGCTGGATCTGATTATGGAGACCTTTGGGGAGAGACGGTCGGGAGTGCAACTGCTATCGGGATTCGTGGGCTTAAAGCAGAGAATGGCGGAGAGTGTGATGGAGTACTCACACAGGATGAACAGGGCCTTTGATTTGGTAAAGGGCAAATCACCGGACATTGATGTACGCCTACTGAGGGACCATTTCATCGAGGGGCTAGCAACCCCGATCTTAAGGAGAGAGTTGAAAGAGGAGGTCCACAGAGACCAGCAGTTGACCTTCCTTCAGGTCAGGAACTCAGCGATCCGCAGGTCCGAGGATGAGGACCAATCGAACTGTTCGGTGGACAAAGTCTCTGTGCCTCAACAGAGACAATCCCCACCCACAGGGGCCGACACGATGGAGACCATGATGGCTCAACTGTTGGCCCACCTAGAGAAGGTTGACCAACGCTTGAAGTGGTTGGAAAGCAGGTCAACAGCTGAGAATCAGGAAAAGAACGGGACAAAACAGGGACGGGTTGGACGGCCGCGTCCTGCCAAGCCATCACTCCAATGGACGGCAGACGGTCGACCAATTTGTTTGTCTTGTTCACAACCCGGACATATGGCACGGTACTGCCAGGGAAACGGTCGTCCTCTGTAAGGCAGGGCCAGGCTACAGAGGGGCGAGGTTATGGCCCAAGAAGCAAAATGATGGGAGTCTGTCCCGAAATGGTGATTACGATTGGGGACATCGCGGTGAAGGCAATTGTGGATACAGGCTCCCAGGTGACGACAATCACGGAAAATTTTTACACCAAATGGATGAAAGGAAAAGACCATAGGTTGAGGTCTGACACAGGCATGCGCCTGACGGCAGCTAATGGACTAACCATTCCATACTGTGGTTATTTTCTGGCGGATGTCGTGGTGGCAGGACATAGGTTGAAGCAGGTTGGGGTGTTCGTTACGAAACACAACCTAGAGACAAATGTGTCAAATATACCTTGCCTGTTGGGCATGAATATTCTTGGCCAGTTGCCAGAATTTCTTACAAATATTGTCGGATCGACCACACCAGGTCGGGGATCCAAGTTGGCCAGGTTTGCCAAGACCAGAGGAAGGACAGCAGTCCCGGCAAACACGGTCAAGGCAATCACATTAAAAATTGGTGATAGAAGCGTGAATGGTGATGTGATGATAGAACCATGTGGCGCCGCACTGAGGGCAGGCGTCGTGTTACTGCGGACATACACATCAGCGGAAAACGGACTAGTTCAAGGGTTGGTAGCAAATGTTTTGGATGAAGAAATTTTTATACCGCCTAACACTCTGGTAGGAGTACCACAGAACGTCGAGGTACAAAGGTCGGCACAGTGCATCGAACTGATCAATACCAGTAGTAATGAAGTAACAATTAGGTCGGTCAATGTGACGGCCGAGGTGAAGAAAGAAGATGGCCGATCATATACATTCCCGGAAACTGAGGACCCAAAACTAAATGAATTGCTGAAGAAATACAGTGATATATTTGCCTCGTATGAGGGTGATTTGGGGTACACGGAAGTAATAAAACACCAGATACCCTTACTACAAGACAAGCCGGTGGCGCAACCTTATCGAAGATTGCCACCAAGTCACTACTCTGCGGTGAAAGCACACCTGAACGATCTACTAAAAAAGGGAATTATTACAACCAGTACGAGCCCACATGCGGCACCGATTGTAGTGGTAAAAAAGAAGTCAGGGGAGATAAGACTGTGTTGTGATTACCGGAAATTGAACAATATTACAAGAAGGGATGCATTCCCCTTGCCTCGTATTGATGAATGTCTTGATGCGTTGGGGGGAGCAAGATTTTTTTCTACCTTGGATTTGGCCAGTGGCTACCACCAAGTGGCCATGCACCCCAACGATCAACATAAAACTGCATTTATTTCTCCACTGGGACTGTACGAGTGGACCCGTATGCCGTTTGGTCTAACTAATGCACCTGCTACATTCCAGCGAGTAATGCAGAGTGCTATGAGTGACTTTCTATTTCAAATAATGTTGGTGTATTTGGATGATATTCTAGTTTACTCAAAAACTTGGGAGGACCATCTAAAAAGATTAGAACAAGTGTTTCTCCGTCTTAGGGAGATAGGAGTAAAGCTGAACCCAGACAAATGCTGCTTTGGTTTGAAATCGGTACATTTTTTGGGTTACGTGATTTCGTCGGATGGCATCGCCACTGACCCAGATAAAATTGCAGCTGTTAAAGAATGGAAACAACCAACAACTACGGTAGAGGTCAGGTCATTCTTGGGCTTTGCTTCCTATTATAGAAAATTTGTGCCGGGTTTTGCAAAAATTGCCGCACCATTGCATGACTTGGTAAACAAAATGACAAAGAAACACAGTAAGGAGAAAAAGAAAGGTAAAACACAACTGATAGGTGAACTATGGACTGATGAATGCCTGAACTCGTTTAAACTCTTGAAAAAGGCCTTGACAGAGGCACCGATATTGGGATACGCGGACTTTGACAAACCATTTCGGTTAGAAATTGACGCCAGCTCGAAAGGTCTGGGAGCTGTGCTATCACAACAACAAAAGCAAGGTTTCAGGGTTATTGCTTATGCAAGTCGAGCTCTGAAGGAATCAGAGAAGAACATGACAAATTACAGCGCCATGAAACTAGAACTTTTGACATTAAAATGGGCTGTGACTGAAAAATTCAGGGACTATCTCTTGGGTGCTAAATGTGTGGTATACACTGACAATAACCCCTTGAGTCACCTAAAGACAGCAAAGTTGGGATCCATCGAACAGCGATGGGCAGCAGAATTGGCACTCTTTGACCTAGAGATAAAGTATCGCCCGGGGCGGTCCAATGGCAATGCGGACGCCTTATCAAGGAATCCTTACGAGAGACCGGGTGATGAGGAAGAAACACTGACAGGAATATGTGAGGTCAGAGCGTCAACAGATATCCCTCATGGGGTACAAGTGATGCAAAACGGGCAGACCGGGGTGGAGCACATATCCACGGAACCCGAACATATGGACAGTAGTGATTTTAATTGCCTTAATCACCAAAAGATAAGAGATGCCCAGAGAACGGATAGTGGCTTACAACCGCTATTGAAACACGTCCAGGAACAAAAATTCCCAGGAAGAAGGGAAAGAGAACAATTTGGTCGAGAAACAAAGAAAATACTGAGTCAGTGGAACCGTCTCAGTATAAAGGATGGTGTTCTCATGCGGAGAATTCATGACCAAATTGATGGCACAATACACCAGGTGGTGGTGCCGGGACAATTACGAGGAGAAGTGCTAAGGTTGGCACATGACAGGGCAGGACACCAGGGTCAGGACAGAACCCACAAAATATTACGACGGAGGTGTTACTGGCCCAATATGGAAATGGAGGTCAAACGCCATTGTGAGTCTTGTGTGAGGTGTCAGCATGCGAAAATGCCAGTTGTCAAAATGAGACAGCCATCAGGACACCTACTAGCGACAAAACCACTAGAGATTGTGGCTATGGACTTTACGTCGTTGGAGCAATCATCGGATGGGACGGAACATGTGTTGGTAATGACTGATGTATTCACCAAATGGACTGTGGCGGTGCCCACACGAGATCAGACTGCCAAAACAGTGGCAAAGGTCTTATTACAACATTGGTTCATCAAATATGGCATACCAAGACAATTACACTCTGACCAAGGAAGGGCCTTTGAGTCAGAAGTAATTAACCAACTGTGCAACCACTACGGGATCAACAAATCTAGAACAACCACATTTAATCCGAAAGGAAACGGACAGTGTGAACGGTTCAACCGCAGCATGCATGATTTGCTGCGTACGCTAGAACCTGAACAGAAAAAACGTTGGCCTGATTTTCTCCCAGAGTTGGTATATCTATACAACTGCACACCACATGCCACAACCGGCTTTTCGCCATACATGTTGCTGTTCGGACGAGAGGCTCGACTCCCTCTTGATTTGTTCCTAGGAAAAAGGGAGAGTATGACTGGCTCATACACCGCACTGGAATATGTGAATGAACATATGAGAAGAATTAGAGAAATGTACAGGGTAGTACAGGAAAGACTAGAACATGAATCTCGGCGAAGGGAACCGCCGATACAGACGAAGGACCCGCCACTCAAACTGAATGACAGGGTATTACTGCGTAGCCACCCGTTAGGCAGAAACAAAATCCACGATCTCTGGGGACAGGAGATATGGCAAGTCGTGGAGATGCCTAAAGCAGCAGGTGGCCCCTTTAAGATAAGACCCATCGATCACGCCAAACCGGATCGGTGGGCGAATATTGCTCAATTAAAGAAATATTGGAATAGGCAAGAAGAGCAGTTACACACAGAGAAACCCAAGACAATTAGGGAACCGGAAGTTACAACGGAAATTCACATACCCATTCCGGAACCATATCACCATCAACAGAACAACAGCGATACGCAAGGGGAGGATACCGGCAACAATGAGGATCCCGGTCCCTCCAGAAGCAGAGAGACGGTAGACCATCAGATAAGTGGTCCGCGGAGAAGTTTAAGGAACAGAAGGAATACGAAATTTTTTGTCAGCAACCATCAATTCTTTCATGGTCGCGCTGGTATGAAAACAGACTGTTCAAAGAGCTATAGAAGTGAACTGGTGAAGGCACCAAATGGAAAGGGTGGATGTGAATTCTAGAACTGTTTTGTGTCTCAGGAAGATGATGTAGACACAGTTGATATGTGAAATAGGTAGAACTGTCAATCGTATACGAATGGAACGTCGTGGACAGTGAGTGGAACAATAGATTTTTTTTTCTACGACTGTGCGATTGACTTTGGAGGAGTGCACCTGCCAGGCGTTGTTTGTGGTTGAAAACACACAAAAAAAGCAGGGGTGGATGTAACTGGGGTAGGCCTAACTACCAGTTACAAATGATAACGAACGAGAAGCCGAAACGCAGTGTTGGTCTGATGCAACCGATAACAGGTGGCTTATTGGGTCGGGCTGATAACAACCTCAAAGCCAACGCGTGCTATTTTGGGAAACGGTATTCAGACGGCCTGTCAACTTTGATGGATAGGACGCAGATGTTATTTTACGGTCTGTACGTTTGAACTACGCAACTGGTGGTCGGAGATCGAGTACAAGTATCGATTACGGAGGAATACAAGTACGGAAACGAGTACGGATACAAGGCATAAATAGGAGGGGACAGCAGGACTCGTTCTCTCTCTCTCTTCCCGTTTCAGCGAGCTCTCTTCCATCTTCATCGCTCGCTTAGATCAGTCAGTCTGTGTGACTATGTCAAGTCGGTTATAGAACGGGTTAGCCGTATTGTGTTAAGGAGGATTATAGACATGTGGATTCAGTTATATAAAGCCTAGTGAAGGACTGTTAGGGGTCAGTTGATTCAGACTATTATTGAGAAGCATTCCTGTTGATTTATTGTGTTATTATGAAGCATTTCTTGATTCATGTAATAAAGGATCAATAGCGAACCTGCATCTTGAGTATCTATACTGTGGTCAATGTTGTCTAGAATGAGTGGTTAAACTCGTTAACACGTGGCACTACAGGCAATTAGGTCTCATTACATGTGGCGTTGCGAGCATGGTAACTGTTGGCTCGTTACAATTGGCGTTGTCGGCAGGATAAATGTTCGCTCGTCACAATTGGCGCTGCGAGCAGGGTAACTGTTGGCTCGTTACAATTGGCGTTGTCGGCAGGATAAATGTTCGCTCGTCACATATATATATATATATATATATATATATATATATATATATATATATATATATATATATATATATATATATATATATATATATATATATATATATATATATATATATATGGATGTGTGATATCGATGTGTGTGTGTGCGTGTGCGTGCTAGTGTGCGTGTGTGTGTGATATCTTTTTACAAAGTGCAGACCGATAGTGTTCTCCTCTTGAAAAATAAACTGTCACTTGGACAAAACCCGATTCAATTGGTTAAATGTTAACTTTTCGAATACCCTTTAACAAGTTTTAGCAGATCGACTTACGTGTTGGAAATCTGCAGCATCAGACATGTTTTATTTTTATGTACATCCAGCCCAAAGTAAAAGATGCTTACTTACATTTGTACAGATTCAAGACTTTTGATTACTAAACGAAAATGAAATTACAAAATACACTCAGTATTACCTGTAAAAGCAGAGCTTCCACTGTGTAGCTGACACCATAACATCAAGAGGAAGGGGGAGGCCCACTTCACCCTCACCATGTAAGTCCACATAGCGAGAAGTTGAAACAGCACCTGTGTAAGTTATAATTTTTTATAACACAAACACTGTAAGCGTTGGGGATATACATATGGCTAACACTATGTCGTATCGTATTATGTTGGTTTACCTACCCTAACAAAATGCACTATAGACCTCTAAATTGACGGTAGTCTCAAAGTAATTTTATTAAATATTTCATTTTAAACTTGTAATTTAGAAATTAAATTCTAAATATGTGATTTACATTGTAACTCTTTTGATCATGATCAAAAACATTTACGCTTCTTGCAGCTGAAAAATAATTGATAGACCGACATGTTTCGACAGTACTGTGCATTATCTCTACCATTCACAATAACATAACTTTTACAACGCTTCAAGTTAGAATGTCAAATTAAGAGACGTTTGTAATTATTCTGTCGATAAAGCTAATCTATGTAAAATCATTTAATCAATGAAATAATTCTGTCCAATTTATACTTTTTTTCTGTGGTTTCTCCTAAAACTAGTTTATTCAACTAATGTTCGAAATTTGTAAACATTCTTAATCAAATTAATAACCAATCGCGTTGATGATATGAAGCTATTTCTGAAATGATAATTTATCATAGCAGAACAAGGCATCTGGTAATTTCTAACGTAATTACTACAATAAAAAAATACAATAATTACTACAATAAAACTGAGTGACAAGATTTGCCACATATCCACCAACAAACAAACAAACACAAAGTGCTTGCTAAACAAACTCTTGTAAAAACATAATTAATTTCGCGATTGAAATAAACAAAATCTAATACAACAATTAGCCTATACATTAGCAAATGCATTGTGTACTTACAATTTGTTAACTAAGAAATTCTCACCGAAAAAACCTAACCAACTTTTTAAAATTCTTTAATTCAGCTGTGTTTAAAATGAAACTTTTGCCCTTCAAGCTCTGCAGGCTTGATTTGTCCTAGGTGTGTGACAAGATTGCGCCCTTTATAGGAAGCTAGTAGGAAGTGTTTCTATTAATAGCTACGACTGTAAGCATGACTGTATCGGAATAGACTACTGGAAATTATTTTAAAATGGCGTCTTAATTTTAGATATCACCTTGACAATATTACGTGCTTATATCACGTGGTGCTCCGTTTACAGAGGTGACATTGACGTATGTAGGGCTTGGCAGCAGCGGTGGAAACTACCATAATTTGCCTTCTCACAGATAACAGTAGATGCTGAAGTATTAAGGATACATCGTCACTACGACAAAATTAGGACACATTTCCACTACTTACTTTATTACTTGGAAATAAGTTAATAATAATTCTTTATCATAATTTACTTGAGTAGAACATAAGATTATAACAAGTAGATGATAGCCAAAACCGAGAACTTCTTTTATTTAGCTAGAAGCGCATATGATCTACGGGATTAACAAATGCCTCAGATTATTTTGTGTTATATAAAAATTAATGTTGTATTTAAAAAAAAAACAATATATATTATTTGTTAAGCATCTGATAGGAAAATATATTAAACACATGGGATATACTTATTGCTTGTATGACCGTGTGTTCATTATAACTCCGACTGTTAGGATCCCCTTTACCATGTAAAACGTCACAAGACATAAATTAACACACTACAGTAACTGACACAAGACATGAATTGACACAATACAGTAACAGAAACAAGACATGAATTGACACAATACAGTAACAGAAACAAGACATGAATTGACACAATACAGTAACAGAAACAAGGCATGAATTAACACAATACAGTAACAGAAACAAGACATGAATTAATACGATATAGTAACAGACACAAGACATGAATTAATACGATACAGTAACAGATACAAGACATGAATTGACACAATACAGTAACAGAAACAAGACATGAATTGACACAATACAGTAACAGTAACAGACACAAGACATGACTAAACAGGTCTTGATTAGCCTGCACCAAAGGCGTACATTTAAAGCGGTTTTAAACAGCTTTAAAATCAATTAACATGCATGGTTAGATAAGCTAAAGTTGACATTTTGCCAAAAAATAATCATTATTATTTTTACTAAATTAGATTGATCGAAATTATCTGTTGATAAAAGAATTTTTAATCAGGTACAACTATTGAATATTTTTATGCCATTAATGCACTGGTCGTACTGCTTACGTTGAGTCAGTGCTGATTTAATAGATCAATGTCTCTCATTAAAATAAAAAAATCAAATATATTTATATCTGATTAAAATCAAAGACATTTCATTCTTTTATTGCGGAGCCGTCAGGATTTGTTGTACTGAATACGCATGAGGGGCTTCCCCTGCGGTAATCAACTAATGAAAGAAAACACCCAGTTCTGCTCAAGTGGATCTTAAGGATTTCCCGGCACTTAATGGCGCCCTTACCGTCACTTAGACTAATTTATTCAGCATTAAAGAAAAAAAAAACCCGCTGATCCGCTTGAGCTGATCCTAATGATATCACGGCTGTTACCGCCACTAGACTAATTATTTCAGGGTCGGGTGGGTTATCTTACGACCGTCAGCTTGTTTCAAACTGCGTCACGCTTTAAAACGGAAAATAAATCCATCAATTAGAGCGCTTCACCAGGAAGTTGCAATTAAAAAATAAATAAATAAATAAAACATAAGCTTGTAGTGTGCAACATGAGGGTGAGTTAAAATCGATGCTTAAAAACACGTTGAAAGCTAATTCCAATAATCACTGGCCCCCAACAATTGTTTTAATGTTATTCATTTTAACGAACCTCAATTTTTTTTCTAAAAAAAAAGCTATAAAACTTTAAAACGCTAATTAAAATACAAATGGAGATCAGTGTTTCTTCCAGACTTTTTTCTCCGCGGGGGGGAGGGACCATTGAAATTTTCCGGGGGGGGGGGGGGGAAGGGGCGGTAGATTTTTTTCGGGGGGGGGCGCGGACACTGAAAAGTATATATTTTCTATATAAATTTCATTTCGTTCGGAGGGGGGGGGGGGCGAAGAGATGCCTGGAAGAAACTCTGATGGAGATGATACAGTTTTTTTTTTAAATATTAGAGCTTTTAATCACTAAGTTAAAAAAATGTACTACTTAACATGAGTGGACTATAAAAAATGGAGAACTACAGAATTGTTTCATTAACTTTAATTTCGTAAAATGAATATTTCAAATGTACTTTGTAAATAATGTTATGTGTGCTATTGTGTTGACGAGTTTGTAGTTTGGGATTTTTATTCAGGTAAACAAATCATTTTTATAAATAACTAAGTGCCTGTACCTGATCAAACCTGTTTCACTGACGAATTGAATATTGGATACGACATTTTTCTGCATAAAATCAATACTATTTAATTAAGTTTCTTTGTAGATATTTCTATGTATAGACATTATGCAGACCTTTAGTCGCTGAACTTTTTTTAAAATGACGAAGTTGGTTTAAAAATTGTGCGTTCAAATTAATAAAATATCTTTAATTTTTGTCAGGTATGACCGAGTTAAGTATAGCAGTTTGATCTAGATCTGTGTTTCTTTGGAGGAGTGTCAATTATATGAGCGTTAATAACCCATGGGGTGTAGTGTCCGGTATACAGGGCCGGGGCTACCTATAAGGCGAACTAATCGGCCGCCTAGGGCGCTATTCATATGGGAGCGCAAAAATGTGTAATCGCCATAATTAAAAAGTACCTAATAATTAATAACTTTGCGTAGCGGTGCCCAGGATGAACTGTCAATTTGGCGCCTCCTCTTCAAATAAGGCCTATAAATAGTTATTCGCGTTGGTAAAAGTGCGCGCCCCTTCCCTCATTTGGACAGGCCGGGGCGCTTTTTACCAGTCACTTTGCCTTTTTTATTTTGGTGTCCCACAAATGATATAGAAAACAAATAAGTCCGTAATGTCAAGTAGCAGTCAACAATCTTATTTCGACTGTATATTATTCAGTAACTAGCTTTTTATATTATTATCTACCACATTTGGCGGCCGCCCGACCTGCCCTCCCCTAGCTACGCCTCTGGTAATATAGTGAGATAATTACTGTATTTTATCTACATCTTTTAATTTACAACAGATGATTATCTAATTTTAATGTTGATTTAGTGATCACTCCATGGCGCGTCGTGGTAATACGCGTGCAATTTCGATTTTTAATAAGGCTTGTAAGTCTCGTTTTATCTCACTTTGAGCTAGAAATCTCTTAAGCCAGGGAGAGATTTCGATTTTCAAACTATGTTAATTGTTGGCACCACAATATCTTAAACAGAATTTCAAAGTAGAATTCTACTACACTATCTTGGATATAAGTATATAGTCTATTGAAGAGAGATTTCAACAATTAGAACATTATATTCTATGTGACATCCGGTATGAAATGTACAATGTCAACAAAAAGACACCTGCTGACTGCAAAAATTTTGAAACGTCGTGGATGCATAACGCTAATAAAGATATTGTTCTGATGATTTTACAATGAGCTTCAAGTAGCAGCTTCCTAGTCATATATCACCATCAAATCTGCTTCTGTACAGTAGCGTAGCGAGGGGGGGGGGGCGGGGGGGGGGGGACATATGTCCCCGGGCGCAGACCTTAGGGGGCGCCAAAATGGGTTGGAAAAATAAATTGAAAGGTTGAGGGGGTGCAATCGAAAGTTTGAGGGGGGGGGGTGCAAATCGATACTTTGAGGGGGGGGTGCAAATCGAAAGTTTGAGGGGGGGGGGGTGCTAATGGAAATCTCGAGGAGGGGGTGCAAATCGAAAAGTTTGTCCCCGGGCGCCATGGAAGGGTCGCTACGCCTCTGCTTCTGTATATAGTACAACTAAAAAATTGGAAGATTATGTACCAACTGTTGTTGTTTTCTTTGAGTTTACTATTAACACTTCCTGTGTCCGTTGCTAGTGGAGAGCGCAGTTTTTTTAAAAAATAATTAATTACATTGGATGAACTACTATACCGCCAGTGAAAAAACAAATCGACGAGAGCATTGATTATTGAGAAGAAAATAAAAAACCTACGACCTGCATTAATGAAAATTGAGGCGCTTTAAAACTCGATTATTTTAGTCCAGAAATGAGTTTGAGCCTATCTCTGTGTGGTTTGTTGTCTCATGGTGGATATATTTTGCAATGATAAAGGTTAAATGGTTTAATTTAAAATATTATTATATGAAGGGACAACAACATGACTTTATTTTGCCGAATGTTGTTTTCTTAAATGAATGTTTAAAATGTACTCTGCAAGTAATGTTTTGTAATTCATAAACATGTTAGGACATATCATCTTATGTAAAGAATTTATTTTTCAATTAATAATACCAGACCAAGCCAGTTCAACTGTCGCATGCAATACTGGATCCGATAGTTTTATATACAATCAATAAAATTCAATTAGGTTTTATTGTAAATATTTCTATATTTATACATTATGTATATTACTTTAGTCCTTGGTCGTTATCCGAAAAAATGAGGAAGTTGGTCCAGGATTTAGAGCGTTGATAATATTAAAATGTCTTTTAGCTGTGTCCTGTATAGCCGCCTACGAATTTTAAGACTACTATAGAATAAGTTATGTGGGGTATAGGAGTCCGATAAGTGGATCATTGCGGAGGGAGTGGTTTTAGGTATGGGTCTCTGTTAAATGGATCAATAAAAAGGCGTTCGATCTGTCGATCAATATGGATTGGTGTCAATTAGTGTTCGTTAAGTGGATAGAAAAGAGAAGTGGTTGTTCGATCAAAATATATGAAGTAAGCAGAGTGGCGTCAGCTATAGGCATTCAGTCTGGGGGTAAATGAGGAAGTAGCGTCACATATAAACGTGGACCAATGTTGGAGTGGCATTTTGCATTGGCTCAAACTACTTCACTAAAAGACCTCTAAAAAAAAGCAAGAAAGATAATGCATATGTAGTAGACATCATTAGTACAGATTACGCTCCGAAACCATCCCTGTAGCTCTATTGAAACGTTACTACAAGCAACACGTCATGGAGAAAATCGATGCACGTTCCTTCACAGTAACTAGGGTAACAAACACAGGAGATTTATAAACAAAATATATTTTTTTCAAATTAATGCTTTTTAAATTTAATGTGAGTACATAAAAGGTGCTACAACCCCTACTATAGCTCCAAAAAGGATAAGGGACCAGTGCTCACTCTAAATATACTTATCCTCACTCAGAGTTTCTTCCAGGGGGGGGGGGGGGGGGAATAATATACAATCTAGCTCCGTCCCCCGAAGAAAGCCTACCGACCCCCGACCCCCCCCCCCCCCGGTGAAATGGAATTTATATAAAAAAACATATACTTTTACCCGTGGCGTCGTCCCCCGGAAAATGTTGATAGCCCCCCCCCCCCTCGAAAATATCAGGTGCCCCCCCCCCCCCTGGAGAAAAAAAATCTGGAAGAAACACTGCTTATGCTGAGCGTCATACAAGGAGATTTCGCCTTTACGGAGGATCCCTTGTTCGCAGGTTACGGTGCGTGCGTATATATGTTACGGTCAAAGCAGCCCGAAGTGCGGCCAAAGCGCGGATTGGCCGGCCAATCCGCGCATTGGCCGGCTCTCTTTGCCAAAGCCCGAAGAACTTAGCACTAAGATCGTATTTCGTACATTGGCCGGCCAATGCGCGCACTGGCCGGGATGTCCTGGCCAATGTTCTATCTAGACTAAAATGTGATCGCATTTTCATTATTCTAGGTGCGTTTTCATTGAGAGTAACGTATTCTTTAGCTCTTGTTTGTATAGCATTCAATATGCAAGGCGACATGGATCAAAAGGGCCGTCAGACCATGAGACAGACATAGCAAATGGCTGTCAAAAGAAAAAAATGTAAATCCATGTTAGTTTCCATATATGGGGTCTCGATAAAATAGTTACCGAGGAAGATCTTGAGAACATTGAACAAGAAATTGAGGTTGCCATAGATGCAACGACATCCTCAGCTAACACATCTACTGCCGTGGCGGAACGCCCAGACCAGTTGCGTGACAATAATGTGGCCAACAGATTCTATATAGTTTGTGAAAAACAGTGTAGTGCAGCTCATTCTTTTGGATCCTGTGGCAACGATGTCCATGCTATTTGTGGAATACCCAATGAAGCAGACGAAGGGTACGGAGGGAACATTACCTGCAGATTGTGTCACAACAAACAAGACATCATGGAACACAGATCAGCAGCTCATACTGGCTTGCAAACTCAAGGTGCTAAGATGCTTAAAACATCAAATACAAAATTTAAAGATGGTGAAGTGGGTGACAATGTATGCATCCGTTTTCCAGATGTTGACAGAGGTCACGGTGATCCCCGAAGCGTGATTGCAGTTGTCATGAGCGTCGAGGGCGGTTTCTACAAATTAGGAACGGAACATGGTGTTCTAAAACAACTGTATGCCAGAAGTGAGTTTTCAATTCTTCACGAAAAACTGCTCTTATTGTCGTCAGTTGGCACTGAGGAAAATTCACTACCAACCATCGCATCTTCACAATCATTGACTGGGGGCCAAGGCTACACTCGCTGCAATTGCACAACAAAGTGCACAACAAATCGCTGCTGAAAATATATTTTTAACAGTGTCCGCCCCCACCCCCTCCCGAAGAGAGTCTACCGCCCCCCGAAAATTTCAAATGCCCCCCCCCCGGAGAAAAAGTCTGGAAGTAACACTGGACAACACGTAGATTGCAAACGGAAGATAATTTATTGATGTTTTCCGAAATACGTTCTATTTTAAATCATTTACTTGTATTAGCTGTCTGATGCACATTGAAACAATTTTGTTTCATCGTGAAGTGCCTCTATTTTATTAGTGGTTTATATACCACAGCAGATTCTTCCAGGCATCTACGACTCCGACCCCTTCCCCCCAACGAAACGGAATTTATATAGAAAACAATACTTTAATCGTGTCCGCCCCTACCCCGAAAATATCAAGTGCTACCCATACCCCCACACCGGAGAAAAAAGTCTGGAAGAAACACAGTTGCACAGACATTCTTTCTATTATAGAACTTTAATAATACTGAATATATAAACAGAAATAGGTTACCATGATTCACAAAAAAAATATTTCACATTGTCAAAATTCTAGCATTCCACTGACATAAAACTTTTGGACTTGGCTTCACTAAATGGCTTTCCAGGGGATTTCTCTTTCAAAAGTTATTCCATAATCATTATGTAGGCTATGTAGGCATATTGACAAATGAAGATTAGTATATAAAATAACAGAAATGTCTACAATCCTACTTTGTATTGTAAAGTAACTCATGTTAAATTAAAAAATAAATGAAACACTAATCATGGTGTCTAATACTAGTTAAAGTAGAAAAGTATACACCTACAATTTTTATGTAACAAAAATAATGTTCCTGGTTCTTTTTTTAAATAAATCTTACAGTTTTAATAAAAGTATAGATCTACTTTTCAAAATAAATGTCATTTTATACAATTATATAACTTAATATTTAGGAAGCACAATATATGTTTAAATATCCATTTGATTACTTTATGATAAGTTGGTTTTCCCTGATTTTACAATAATAGGTTACAAATATTTGTTATAGTTTTTTATTCTATAAGTAATTTCAATGTCATTATTGCTTTAATTTTAAATACAGATTTTCTTCACTTTAATATTTATTCTTAAAGAAAACAAGTTGTATATTTAAAATGCATTGTGTTTTAATAATTTCATATCCATTTTTTGTAAATGGTACAGCATATAGCAGAATTAGTGAACACATTTCACTGCCTTCAATTGTTTATTGAATATACACATTAATAAACAAAAAAAAAAACAACTATATTTTAAATACAATGTTCCCTTTTTAAACCTGACAGTCAGTCTAATTGAAGTAGAGTTCACCAGTATCTTTAAACAAGGAAAGCAAATTACTAAATTCAAATGGTATTGTATTGTTATGTAGCCTACAGTGTCTTATAGACCTACATAAATTCTGTTGTTATTAATTTGCTGTTTTATACAGCAGTAGGTAACTATGGCAATACAGACACAGGCTAAAGTAAAGAGAGATAATCCAATTGAAAGTCCCAGGGTTAATTGCTGGCCATCTGTGAAAAATATGTTAATGTTAATTAGTATACAAGTAATGAACAAAACTTTTAATTTTTTAATTAAAAGATTAAAATATTTTTAAAATATTAAATATGATAACATTACATAAATGCAACATACCTTTAGAATCTGAGCTGAAACTAAAAATATTACAAAATATTTTTATATCTGTATGATATTAGCTTGTAAATGAAGATGTGCATTCTACTAAAATTAAATTAAAGGTAAAGAAGAAAGTAAATATGTAAGTATTTAAATGAATGAATACATATGGCTACTTACATGCAAACTGTTGTTCCATCCACCTCTACACACTCTTCATTAGATTTACATGGATTGTTCTTTTGTCTCACTGCACATGTTGCAGCAGAAACTAAATAAACAAAATACAAATGTGTTAAGTTAATTAAATCAGAGGTGTATTTAGAAAAGACAATCATAGGTCTTAAACTCCTAATAAATAAAGACATGAATTTACTAATGTTTGCATTTGTTATAGCAACCAGACATTTATTATTTGAAAACTTGTACATAAACAATAATTATACCAATAATAAAATATAAATCTTAAAAAAATTATTAAAAATAAACTAAGGTTTGATATTAATTATGTTAGAAAAAAGGAACAATTCTGGTGGTAAAATTTAATCCAATTAAATGAATATGTTACTTGATCTCCGATGTGTAATTTCTTATTTGTAGACTTTTGTCATTTGGCTTATTATGTTTGATATTTTTCTAGTTTTTTGTAACATTCGAAAACAAGTTATTATTGTTACTTGTTTTTTTAAATTTAACAGTAACATTATCTAAGTGACTAAAATATTGTTGATAAATTTACCTTGCACATTATTGATGTTCAAGTTTAGGATCAATACGGTTGAGTTGTTTAGTGTTAGCCCTTGTGCCATAATTAACTGTATTGCTGCAGTCAGTGCTTGAGATGGGGAACTCTGTAGAATCTGATCTATGAGGATTTCCAGGTCAGCTATAAGACTGCCTTTACTGCAGAAACATCAAGAACACTTAGATGATACAGAAGTGAGATAAAACTACAGTTTGATTTCAAATGTTCTCATTTTACTAATAAAAAATTTGACTAATTAACTTAACTTCAATTTATTTCAATTGAGTTAAGATTTTTTTTTAATGAATAAAATGCGCAAAGATTATTTGAATTCTTTTAAAAATAGCTTAAAAACTTTTAACAACTTTACACTTTAACTGTGGTATGGAGATATATAACACTTGACATACACACCTGAGATTTTTACAGTTAACCTTTACCACAGGTAATTTTTTAGCTTTCAGTTCCTTAAACATCTGAAAACAAATATATTTTATGCTTTTTGTATAAAAAAATGAATTAGAAATACATCAGATTAACACAGACCAATTAAAGGCAAGGCTTCAATTATGCCACAGTTTAGTTAGGTGATAGCTATTTTTCAAATCATTGTGTGGTTGTATTCTAGTTTTACAACTGATTTGTTATATCTAACTTAACTGTTTTAATTTCAGTATAAGTATAATAATGTTTAAAAGAAATATGAAGTTCATTAAAAGTGATGTTAGGATATTTTGGTTACTTGATTTTCCACTTCCACTTTAGTCTTGATATAATCATCACTGTTTTTGTCTTCTAAGTTCAGTTTAGCAACATCAATGTTGAAAGGGATTGTCATGTTCTGGGTAGAGACAACTGCAAGTGATAAAGGCAAAAATGTTACATTTTCTGGTGATAAAGACAAAAAAATGTTACATCTTTTGGTGATAAAGACAAAAATTGGTACATCTTCTGGTGTAATTTAAAAACTTGATACAAGGAATTTCCTATCTTAAATTTCAGCAAGTCTAGACTTTCCAAAAATATCTTGCATATTCCTTTAAATAAATAATGAAATAAAATATTGAATATGTCTTAGTTTTATTCAATGCAAATTGGAAAAAAAAATTGAATGTGTTTATCTTATTAAAAATAATTACCATGGCAAGCTGAGGAGTTTGCTGAACTGATGGTATAGCCATCTTTACAGGAACATTCAAAGCTGCCATTTAAATTTGTACAATTCTGCTCACAAGGCTTTACCAATGATGAACACTCATCTACATCTGAAGCAAGCATAATCAGTACTGGTTAGTTATAAAAGATCTAGACACTGTTTAAAGCAACTCAATGTAAATAGTGTTTTTATCTTCAAAAAACAGTGGCAACATTAACTGAATGTAAGATTGTTATTTAGTAACATTAAGTTTAAATTATATTCAAGTTCCTTAATAGAGTTAATTAGAATGAATAACATTGCTTTTAGACAAGTGCAAGTTGAGGTACAAGCAATTTTATGGAATGAATTAAACTTGTATCTTATTATACAACAATATAATTTAAAAAAGAAGTTTAATACAATAATTTTGATTGTTGAAAGAATTCATACTTAGCAAATGTTTATACCTTCACAAATCAGATTTGTTGAATTTTTACTATAGTAGCCTTCATCACACAGACAAACAAAAGACCCATCAGTATTGTTGCAATGAGAATGGGATGGACAGTTGGTTGTATTCTGGAGACATTCATCAACATCTTTGTCACAATTAGTTCCACTCCATCCACTTTTACACTGGCATGTACCAGAGACTTTATCACATGTTGATGTCCCCAACACAGAACAGCTGCAGTTGTTGTTACACTCAGTGCCCCAAGTGCCTTCAACACAAGCTGGACAATATATAAAAAAGTAAAATTAAAGGAGGCTTTGCTAGCTCAAACAATAATCCTAAAGTCATACACATAATACATATTGCATTCAATTTAACATTTTATTTTTCAATTGAATATTTTAAAATACATTGTTTTAGAAAAGACTATTTTAAAAAGTCTAATATTATAGCTATCAGATGAAATTACAATTTTAAATGTTATATACATAAAAATAAAAATTAAATCAAACAATTTAAAACAATTAAAACCATTAAAACATATTTTAGCTCACAACAATTGATTTGAAAAAAATTTATTTGTGCATTAATCTAAACAAAATAAATTTAAAATAGATGACGATAGGTTTTTATATACCTGTGCAATTATCTCCTTTTGTTGTAAATCCTTCACCACACATACAGACATACCCAGTGCTGGATCTCTTACACTGTAAGCTTGATGTACAATTGTTCACTCTACAGTCTATGACGACATCTTCACACGTGGCTTCACCCCATCCAATCTTACACTGACATGAACCAGTGACCTGGTCACAGTGGTCTGTGTTCAGCATCTTACAGCTGCATGTGTTGTTACATCCAGTGCCCCAGCTGCCTTCAATACAATCTAGTAACACAAAAATAGACTAAATTTTAATTAAATTTCCAAACCACATACATCACAAGTGTATTTCAATATTGGTAATTTCCAATACTGATTGAAACAGACAGGATCGAACTGTTGAAGATGGGACCAACCATGTTTAAAATATCCTGCTATTATTAATTACATGAATTAAAACTATGGATAATTATGTACTATTTCTAAATTAAGATAATTGTAAATAATTTTCAACACAATTATTGAAAGCTGAAAACTGTGTAGTACATTAATTAGTAATAATTATTTCTTCTAAAAAAAAAACAATGTAACAAATTAATAAAATCCTTTAATTCTTATTTATCTGTATTTATACAAAATAGAATATGCAGCTAGAAATATGTTAACCATATTTAAATTTTTTACCATTCATGCAACAGTAGCCAGTATGTTCTATAATTGAAACTGTTAAAGATAATTTTACTTATGTGACTTACCATCACATGTGATGCCATCATTATTCAACATTTGTCCTATAGGACACACACACTCTATGCTTGTGTTCTGTAGAGTTTCTACACAGCCATGTTTGCATGTGGTTTTAGCACACAGATTCAAATCTTTAATGATAAAATAAAAAAATAAAATCTTTTTCTAAAAGAAATGAAGTAATTTATTATGTCACCTCAAAAAAGTTAAAATACTTCACATAGATAACTCATAAAAATGTTAACTTTATGGTAGTCATTTATCATTTATGTAGAATATGATAAAGACATCAAAGAAGACAAAAAATGTTCATTATAAATATATATTGTGTTTTACTATACATTAATATAATAGAAGAAGAAATTATTTTGTATCCATTTAATATAATCAATAAAAAGTAATAAAAAATACTACAAATATTACATAAAAGAAAATATTTTAAATAAAAAAAGACATACCATCACAATTTAAACCATTTGCTGCTAAAATTGTTCCTTTAGGACATAAGCAAGTCTCTGTACCATTGATAGTTGCACACTGGTAGCTACATGTGGTTTTGGTGGTGCATGGTATTGTTGCTGCAAACACAGTGTTAGTATTTGAACACGGTCAGTTTAATTTCAAATTCGACATAATTTATTTATACATGTCTTTAAAAAAATTTATTAACAAATATATCACACATTTTTAAGATGTTACTTAAAAGGATTGAAATTCTTAGTAATACTCAACATTAATTAGTACTATGCATATAAATAGCATTTGTAATAGCAGTTTAGCAGGCTACACATAGACATGATCCTAAACAATAGATTGTTATGAACCTGTTATCACTCCAACCAGCAACTTCATTAAAAATAAGCTTACAGCCAGTAAACTTACAATACAAAGGATAACATTTATTCTTTTTATTAACTATATATCAAAGGAAACAGTTTAAAAAATGCATTTATTTTTCATTCAGTTAAAAAGAATTCAAAACTTAACAACCTCTACAGGTAAGACCATCAGGTTGAAGCAACAGCCCTGATGTACAAGAACACCTGTAACTTCCTTCTGTGTTGATACACAACTGTTCACATCTGGTATTGTCTTGTTGGCACTCATTTATATCTGGAGGAAGAAATACATTTTAAAACTTTATTTGATATTGAAAGGTACACTTTTCCAGAGCAATCAATATTAATTTTTAGCCTTTAATACAAAATATTTTTTTAAGAAAGTTATATTTTTTAAAATGTTTGTTTAATATTTAAAATAAAATTGCTAATTTAAAATGTAATTTTGATTCTAAAGAAGAGTTTATTGCTAAGAAAATATACCAGAACAAATGTTAGTTGTCGAGTTGTAGAAATAGCCATGGAAACAAGCACAACTATAACCTCCAACAAAATTGTTGCACAACTGAGGGCAGTTGTTGGTTGTTGGACTGGAGCATTCATTCAAATCTATGGTAACAAAAATATTCACATTTTCTATCTGCTTAAAATAATTGATAAAGTAATCATTTGTCTATTTCTGATTTCACATTTTTAAAAGCTATGAATAGCGAAGAAATTAAATTAGTATACCTGCACATAACCCATTTTCTCTGACATAACCAGTTTGGCATTGACAGGTAGCAGATCCTGGTAAATTGACACATTTTTCATTGGTGCCACATTGTTGTGCTCCAGTTGTACATTCATCAATGTCAATATTACATAATGTTCCTGAATGAGAAACAAAAATGTGTGTAGCGTTGGGGAAAGAAAAGCAGTAGGCCTACTATTAGTCTTAGAGAAATCACCTAAACAATAATCACACAATTCGTAACATATTAATTTTTTTTTAGATAAAAGATATTAAATCTTGGAGTTTAAGCAAAATATTAATAACTAGACTTAGACATAAAATGAAGAAAAACAAAAAATCTTACTATGTAAAAATTCATTATTTCTTACCAGTGTATCCTGACTTGCAAACACAACCAGTTTTTAGATCACAGTAATCTGCCCCTGACCCACAGCTACATGACTTGTTACACTGTATGCCCCAAGTTTCACCACTACATCCTGTTAAATTATGATTTTATCATACAGATTCTTTAAATTTTGCTCTTTTTACAAGCTTTTATTTAACTCACTTCCCCTGTGTGTCGTCAGTCGTTAGTCTGTCGTCAGTCTGTCTGTCTAGATCGAAACTACTGAGCAAAATTGCAGGCACTTTTAACTGATAGATACGGTTCGTAACTGGTACATGGGTCAAAACATGAAGACAATGCATTATGACATTCAATTTAACTAAATTGGTCGCCAAAATAATTTTTATTAATTAATTAAAAATTTGATCAAATTAGTAGACAGTTCTATCCAACTACTCAACACGTGTCATCACGTTCAATAGCGCATCATCACGTCCAATCGGTGAGCAATGGTTTTTAGTCATGTAACTCTATTGTCAATAAAAACATGTAAAGTACTTAAAAAAATTTCATAAAAACGTTTTAATAATAAGCTTTTATGTAATAATGCACTAAAAATGAGAAAAAAAAATATACAGTACTATTTAAATTACTATAAAGAAAAGCGTGGATCTCTTCCTAAATATTAGTAAAGGTATCCAATAGATACTAAAATGACCCACGCTTTTTTATAGTTATTGAAATAGTAGTGTTTAATTTATTTTCTCCTTTTTAGTGCATTATTACATAAAAGCTTATTATTAAAACGTTTTTTATGAAAAAAAGGTTTTGTAATTGAAAGCAAGCTCTAAGTAATGGAAAAAAATATGGTAAATTGTTTTTGCAATTTTTGAATTAATATCAGCAAAAATTACCAATACAAGAGCGGCCATCATTGTCCAGCTTTGTCCCTGCTTCACATGAACATGTGTAGCTGCCATCAGTGTTGACACAGCTGGTTTTAATTGCACATTTGTTGTCACTGTCTGAGAGACACTCATTGATATCTGAGGATCACACATTTCAACAATTAGTATTGTTATCAGCAGTCATATTTTTTAATACAAAATGGAATTTTTTAATACAAATTTTTATTAGTTAGGTTTTGTTTTTTATTAAAGTAGTTTACCTCATTGTATGATATGTATAAATCATATCTATGTGTTTAATGAAATACAATTCCTAATTATTATTTCATGTATATAATTTAAATACCTTCACAGAGCTCTGTGTCTTTTAATTTAAAACCTCTTGGGCAATAGCAAGAGGGTGTATTGTCAGCATCAACACCACACCCATAACTGCAGTTGATAGCTTCACCAACACAAGGGTCTTTCACTGTTTGGTAAGACATCTTGATAATATTATTCTTTTTACAACAAAATATATAATTAATGAAAGTATAGAATTCATAAGAAATATTAAAATTCTTATTAATTACACTTTAAGCTAAAAAAAATAAACAATAATCGATTGTAATCAAACCTTTGACACAGGTCCACCTGTCATCAGAGAGATAAAAACCTTGTTGACACAAACAGTTGTAGGAGCCAGGCTTGTTGTCACATATCTGTTCACATTTATCTACTTTCTTTTCACATTCATTGATATCTGTAAGACAAAACAAAAATGTTAACTAATATGTTGACTTGTTTTCAGAAAAAAATAAATTTCCCTTTTTTAAATATTTGAGCAAATAAAAATCCAATTGTAAAGTTTCAGTATATTTTTTCACTTAATCTATAAATAAAAACTACCAGACTTTTATTCAATAGAACATTAATTTTATTAAAATTTACTTCATGGTTAACATGTTGTTTTGGAAAATAAAGAACAAACCTTCACAAACAGACTGAGCATTCCTGGCATATCCTTTCTTACAAGAACAGCTGTAGCTTCCCACTGTGTTGATACAAACTTCTACAAGTCTGTCACAGGTTGTGTTGGAATAAATATCTGTGCACTCGTTAATGTCTGATGTTACCGAGAAAGTAGAAGATTTTTTTTTATTACATTGCCACTTTAGATAATTATAATTTATAAATTTCAAACCATATTAAAAACAATTGGACATTCCTTTGTTAAAAAAAGCTGTTTGTAGTCTTACCCTTAGCCTAACCCCAACCCTATTTTAATACCAAAAGTCTTATAAAAGAATATGAAAAATTATAAGAAACAAAATTGCATGGCCTTATAAAATGAGATTAATAAAGGCATTAAAAATAGATTATTTTTTTCATTGACATATAGAATAAAAAAAATAAGCATCAAAGAACATATGTTTACCAAACACAATTATACAATGATATTTAATAACAAATAACAAATTACCTAAGCAAACTCCATCGTCCAGTTTGTACCCATCTGGACACACACAGGAGAATGACCCAATCTTGTTCTTACACACAAAACCTTCAGGACATGAGTTGGGCAGGGCACATTCATCAACGTCCAGCTCACAGTTGTCTCCTGTCCAGCTCTCATCACACACACACCCTCTAACTGTGTCACATGACCCGTGACTGCTGCACTGGCAGATGTTCTCACAGTTTTCCCCATAGTAAGGTTTTTCACACGCTGAATAAAATGCAAAGGATTTTATTTCTTTTATAATTAATGGAATATTGTTGGTTTTATTCTAAACATGAGTAAGAAATAAGTTATTTGATGCATAGGGAACTAATGTATCAGTTTTTTCTAATTTTTATATTAGACGTAGTAGAATTCTTACCAAAACCTAAGAACTGTGATGAGTTACCGCTAAGCTAAATTTACTATTACATTTTCACTTTGCATTTATTTATTTTTGTTATGTATTCCTACCCGTAGTCTACAAAACACAAGGCTAATCATAAATATGTTATCTGTTTATGAGTATAATATACATTTCGACTTAATCATACACAACAAATCATATATTAGATGTATGCTTAAGTAAATTTATTTAGAATTATTATTTTAAATTATCAAGAAACTACAAAAAAAATTTTTTAGTGTTCTTTCCCACCAAAATAAGGCTTAGTAAATAGTAATCATTAACCTATGTCAGACCTAAAATAAAATACCTACCTGCACAAGAGACTCCATCAGGCCCAAGTTTGAAGCCAGTGTAACATGAACATTGGTATGTCCCCAGCTGGTTGATGCAGCTTTGACTGCATGGCTTGTTGCCATACTCACACTCATTTATATCTGGTAATTAATTAGAAAAAATGTATGTATAATTATTACTGAATCTGTTGAAGAGATAGTAGGTTTAGCTACTTGATTTTCTTTTTGTTATCAGTTTAATGAATAGAAGTAATTGCTTGTTCCTTTTTATTTTTATTTCTCATACTTAATTTATTGAATTTTTTTTAAAATTGACTTAATTTCATCATAACTGTGAAGGTTTTTAAATATTTAAAAAAATAATTTTACAAAAACAACAATGTACCTATACAATTAGTATTATCAGTTGGATCAACCTCATAGCCAAGTCTACAGCTGCAGTTCACTTGGTTATTTGTCACACTACAAACCTGTTGACATTGGTAGCATTGATCTCTTATGTTGGAACCTAGTCAAAAAACATTTTTGAATTATATTTCACTTGTTGAGCTTATAAAAGAAAGAGGTAACTTTTTAATTGTGCTATTTTAACTCAGTTCGAATTATCGTGATTCTGTATTATTAAAATATCATTACATATTATTAAAAAATAACCTTATCTGTAGTCCTTAAAACACAACATTTTTTAATATTTCTGCTAACAAACCAATACACTTATTTTGCACACAAGTCCTGTCAAGGGCTGAATAGAAGAATTGACAAAAAATATGTAAGAAATTAAATGTTTTACAAATTAAATTTAAAATATGTCTACCTATTGTACATGTATATCCATTTTCATCAAGTGTGTATCCAGTCTGGCAAGAGCATGAATAGTTTCCCTTTGTATTAGTGCATTTTTGTTGACATTTTGATGTTCTTTCTTCACACTCATTAATTTCTGTTTTATAGATTATAAACTCAATTAGAAAAAATAAAATAATTACAATATTAATAATTATTGGAAACTGTATTTTTTAAAGCAGGTGTTTTTTTTTATTTGCAATTAAGTCTAATTTTTTTACCATAAAAGAATTGTATATATTACATTTAGATATATATAAATAGAAAATGTGTACTCTTTACTTCGTAAAGAAATATTTTCAAAAAGGCTGCAAATTTTTCTTATATTATTAATATAAAATTTAAAAAAAAATAAAATAGCTTATATTTCAATGCATTGTATCAAGTTCAGTTTTACTAATCAACTTTTAAACAAAATTCTAAAATTACCAAGACAAGTTTTCTTTTCAACTGTGTCCAGCCTGTAGCCAGACTGGCAACTGCAAACAAATGAGCCTTCAGTGTTGGAACACACCTGGCTACATGGGCTGCTCACATTGCATTCATCAATATCTAAAGACAAAACCATGTGCTATTAAATGTTTTCAAAATTATTTACTATTATTTTTTTTTAATTAAAATGTATTCACCTTCATGGGATTATTATTTTTTGGTAGATAAAATAATTTAAAAAATGACAATTGAATAAATGTTTACGTACCAACACACTTTCCATTCCAATCAAAAAATCCATTAGGGCAAGGGCCACAAGCATATCCAATTGAATTATTTCCCTGCTGGGCAGCAGTCAGATCTGTACAGTTCTGTCCCTTGGAACATGGCTCTGCAGCACAGCCATCAAGCTCTGAGTCACACTCTTGGCCTGGAAGATGTCATTCATTTGTAGTTTTTGTAAATGCAAAAATTCAATTTTACATCTACTTGTCAAAAAAGCATTCTAAAATAAAGACCAAATAATCTATAGGCAGTGTATTCATAGTCTGTACTGATTTGTCTTTTAAAAAGCACAACTTTGAAGTTGAAGCAAATGAATAGAGCATGAGTAAAATAGAGAATTCAAAAGCATATTTAAAATTATTATTTAATTAAACTGATACTAATCTTTAGCATTTCTAAATTTAAGATTGTTACATTTTTATTTATACAAAGTTTTATCACAAATAAAAAATAAATATGACTAATTTTTTATAAATTTTAACATAATAAATAATTAAATAATTTTGATGAAAATAATGTTTTATTATCATTGATCAATTAATGTGATTTCTAAATAAATTTTAAAAAGTAAAACTTAAACTTAACTTTAATAAACGTTAAAAAAAATCCAAACCTTTATAAGCAGGAAAGCATGTACAGACTAATATTTGGAATTGACCGTTCAGAAACTCCTGTTGTCTTGGAGTATTTGGATCACAGACACCGTGTCCACTACAGAGTGGACATACAGTTATTGGGATGTATATTGATGGAGAGACAGCACCCTTGAAATCTTTTGCTCTGAATCTGTAATAACAAAAAAAGCAATAAGTCTTTCAGATAAATTATTTAAACATCAAATTTTTAAAAAATAAAAATTTAATTATGTATATAAACCTAAATGTTTCTATATCTTTAAAATGTTAAATAACAAACAGGTAAACTTACTGGAGAAGAACAGGACTGTTAACATTAGGAGTGTAAGTTATTAATCCTGTATTATCAATAGTTACATCAGTAACATTGCCCAGGATTTCAAATGTTATTGCATCATGGTCCTCATCTTCAGCAATGAGTTGTAAGTTAGACAGAGTCCCATGTTTGACCAGCCAACGGCCATTAGAGGTTAGACTATCATTCTTTACTGTCAGGCTGGGTGGATTGTTTGCTGCAGATATAAATAGAAAGCTTACAAAATAAACACATTTAGAAAAATTATATTGATGTGACTAGTAAAAGAAATAACATTTTTATCTAAAAACTATCAAATGTTTAATCCATCTTAAATTTCATCCAAACCTCAAATTAATTTTTTTTTAAATTAATGTATTGTTTTTTATTTTTTATTCATATAAAGTTAGGTAGCAATAAAAGGACAGATTTTTTTTTTGGCAAACATTAGAATAAATATGCGAGTTGCTTACATACACTTACATTCTGTTGAGGAAATAAGTGCTGTGCTTATTTACATCTATTGACTAGCAACTAAATTAACACAATTAGAAAGAACACTCTATGCTTATGTTATTGAGCAGTTAAAATTCATAATACTTGTTCTGATTAAAATAATTATTATTTTCTTAGACTTTCCCTATGCCTAACTCAATCACATATCCCCCAAACAGTAAGTAAGATAAAGAGAGTTAAATAGTTATATAATTTATGCCATTGACACAATAAAAAAACAAAAATCATTATTCTAATCAGTTTAAAAACTGAAACCTTTTTGATAACCACCATACCATTTATTCTGCCAATCAATGCTTAAAACATTTAGCAAAAAAAATATATAAAAGAAATAAAAACCTCAGTTCAAAATTTTTTAAAAATACATACTTTTATTTCAAAAATTCAAAAACCATAATTGTAAATAGAAGCAAAATTTAGATCACTATGAGAGAAAATATGTTCGTTGTTTATATTTTCCACTTTTGACAGAAATAAACACTTATGAATAGAAGTAAGCTTATGAAATTATGGTTAATATTCGTTTTGCACAGTGTAAAACAGTGGCCTATATATTTTACATACAAACTGTAATGTTTACCTAATACTTGAACTGTCTCAGCCATCTGTTCACTAAAAGATTTTGTATTCTCTGCAAATGCCTGGTCACCAGTGGCCAGGAAATCAAAAATACAAGCATCATTTTTATCTCCACAAATTTCAACAGCTTTGGCCACATCCTCAGGCTTAGCTTCATCTTTAAACATGGGAGTGAACTCTGGGTGCTGGAAATCTTCTGCTTTTTCTCCTGGTCCATACAAGAAAATAGTTGTGCTCGCATTTACTGCCCCTAAAGATTTATATAAATGGGTAAAAAGAATTTAATAAATCTTGAAAACACATCTGTTATTATACAATACAAAGTATAATAGATTGACGACAGAAGCCTGTGGTTGTATATAACAGTCTTTATTATGTACAGACGCCATCATGCGAAGAGAGAGGAAGTAAGTGGCCAGAGACCACTATATATAGATAACAACATGTAAGGGACATCACTCCAGATAACAATATAAATATAATACTAATACAGAGAGTGAGTTCCCTTGACCTCACAATTATTTCAATCTATTACATCCCTTTACCCTTAGAACACAATAACACATCTCTCAATAGAACAATTGATAGTATCCTAAAATCACCAATTATATTGTAACATGAACATTATGGTAGATTACATCCTTACAAACAATGCACAATATGCCACAACATAATCAAAATACAAAACAATAATGTCAAAGTCCTTTTGACCTTTAGAATCATAGGTCTAACTTATTTGGGACTTTGATTGTCCTGCTTGACCTTCTCAGTGGCTTCTGATTTGGTGACTCAAGATTCTGACCATCTGGATTCTCTATCTCAGGAGGTCTAGGATTTAAATCATTAACTCCAGAATTTACATTTTCTGACTCCAGACAACTTGGTTCACTCATATCAACAGAACTTGGTTGTGGAACAAACTGAGTTGGTGTGAACTGTTCAGATTTGGTGGGATTGACAGATTCACTCTTATTATCTGCACAAGTTATTTTTAACTGGTCTGCATGTCTACGGACAATAAGTCCATCATTTGTTTTTACTTTATAAGACACAGGTCCTGTACATTGAACAATTTGACCTGGAATCCATTTTTCCTTTCTCCCATAATTTCTTAGATACACATTATCATTAACTGCAAATTCTCTTTCAATGGATGATTTGTCATGATTTACTTTTTGAATTGGCATCTGAAGGTATTATGCTGTTATTCAGATCCTTGACTGACATAGATTTCTTTGATTGATCAATTTCCTCAGGTAATCTGATAGTGCTTCTTGGTAACCAAAAATACTGTTTAAAAGTAATATCCTGGACAATATCACTTTGCAACTGTGATCCAGTATTTGAAGTGGGTGTATTAAATGGCAAAAATCCTTTTTCTTTTCTTTTGATGTTACCCTTTTAGTTTCTGTAAGTGCTAATGATGTTAGCAAAGTTGTTTGATGATCACATTCCTTCTTACCAATGTATTCTCTTTAAAACATTTGAAATTGCCATATCACCATAATCATTTATTAAGTTACAAATACTTTGTTTAGGCAACTCTGACTGATAATGGACTGCATCTTCTCCATCTTTTATATTATCTTCACAAAGGGTTTTAATTTATTATTTTATATGGCCTTAAGTCATCTTCTGGTACATAGCTCAGGCTTTGGTTTTTTAAAGGTAATCTACTAAGACTATCTGCACTATTCTCAGATCCAGGTTTGTATTTCAATTCATAATTGTATGCAGTTAGTGTGATAGCCCATCTTTGAATTCTTGGTGAGGCATGCTCAGGTAGGGTTTTGTTTTCTCCAAATAAACCTAGCAATGGTTTATGATCTGTAAAGATGGTGAACTTCCTACCAAACAGAAACTTATGAAATTTCTTAACACCAAAAATGATGCCTAAGCCTTCCCTATCTAACTGAGAATAATTTTTCTCAGCCTGGTTCAAAGATCTACTGGCAAAAGCAATGGGTCTGTCACCCTTCTCATCCATGTGGGACAAGACTGCTCCTACACCATCTGGTGAAGCATCACATGTTAATATAAGTCTTTTCCCTGGGTCATAGTGAGTTAGTAAGGTGTCAGCAGACAAAGCCTCTTTTGCTGTATTAAAAGCAGCTTCTTGTTGTTTACCCCAGTGCCAAGTTGCATTTTTCTGTAGCAGCTTGTACAGTGGTGATAGTTTACCAGACAGATTTCCTATGAACTTTGCATAGTAATTTATCAAGCCCAAAAAAGCTCTTAGTTGTTGGGTATTTTCAGGTTTGGGTGCTTCTTTAATGGCTTTTGTTTTCTCAGGTTGAGGTCTGATGCCTTGTTTGCTCAATATATAACCAAGAAAACTAATTTCTGTCAGCATGAATTGACATTTATCTTTGTTTATCTTTAAACCTTTTTCACCAACAATTTTCAATACTTTATCTAGTGTTTTAAGATGTTCAGTGTCATTCTTACCAGTTATGTACACATTGTCAAAGTACACACAAACATTTGGAATATCCTTAAAAATACTGTCCATGACAGCTTGGAAAATTCCAGGGCTAGATGATATGCCAAAACATAGTCTTTCATATTGGTAGAGTCCTTTATGTGTGTTTATTGTCGTATAGACTTTTGAATCTGGATGCAGTTCTAGTTGAGTGTAAGCATGACTAAAGTCTAATTCAGTGAATTTGTCTCCTCCTGCCAAATTCAAAGAAATTTCCTCAATGTTAGGTATAGGGTACCTATTTAGCTCTATTTGCTTATTCAGTGTAGTTTTATAATCTCCACAAATTCTTATAGAACCATCCTTCTTTAACACTGGCACAATGGGTGTCGCCCAATCGGAATAGTCTACCTTCTTTATAATGCCATTAGATTCCAATCTACTTAGCTCATTTTCAATTTTATCCCTCATTGCATAAGGTGGAACTCTAGCTTTGCAGTATCTTGGATTTGTGTCTTTAATGCTTAACTTCACTGTTCTATCATTTAGTAAACCTGAATTACCAAAAACACATTTATTTTCAGATATAACTTTATCTAGTGAAGTAAGACTAGATTCTTTTACATTCTTCAATGAACAAATACTCTCCCAATTTAACTTAAGATCACTTAACCAGTTCCTACCTAGTAATGGCGGTCCATTTCCTTCAACCACAAGAAGAGGAAGTTTAACACTTTGACCATTATAACTTACATGAACCATACACTCTCCTATTACCGGAACATTGTCACCAGTGTATGTTGTTAGACACTTGTGACACGGCTGTAGAGGCACTGATCCTCCTGTGACAGCGTCAAACTCTTTCTTTGTTATGACTGTTAGAGATGCTCCAGTGTCAAGTTGGAAGCTGATGCTCTTACCGTTGATATTAACTTGTACATTGATGGGAGCATGACTCATTGATTTAACAGAGAACAGGTTGAAATCCGGCTGCAAATCAATTTGAGCATTTTCACAGGTAGAGTGGTTCATTGGTTGGGTTAGGTAGTCTTGGTGAGAGTTAACATAGTGCTGCTTTTGGTTGCGGTACTGTCTTGACTGGCTAGATTTAGCAACAGACGAAGACTTTGCAAAGCAGGCCTTGGCAATGTGACCTTGCTTACCGCACTTATAACAAGTTGCTAACTTGAACTTGCACCGATGAGATGCATGGGGACCTTTGCATCGATGACATTTTTGATAATTATTACTAGATTTAGATCTAGGATTTGAACGAGCAGGCTGTTTAGCATAAGTTGGAATGCTCTGATGGGGTTGATGTTTATTGACTAACCTGCTGTTTACTGCATGGATCTCTGAAGGTGCTAAAGATCTCACCGCATCTGATGACTGCTGGATTGAAGTTGCGAGTTGTATTGCTTTTTTCAATGTTAGATCTGACTCGAGCAGCAACTTTCTTTGAATATCAGGACTGTTTACACCTGTCACAAACTTTTCACATAGTCTGTCAGACAGCGTATCGCCGAATTCACAAAATCTACTTAAATGACGTAAAGCAGCAACATATTCTGATATTGACTCGTTTGGTTGACGAGTCCTACTGTCAAATCTAGCTCTACATAAAAACTTTGATGGGGTAGGCGCATGGTGGTCTGTTAGCAATTTGCTCAGCTCGTTAAAGCTCTTGGTATCTGGACTAGCTGGTGCGCATAAGTCCTTTAGTAGCCTGAATTGTTGAGGCCCTATGACTGTTAACAAAATAGCTCTCTTTTTGGCTTCTATCGTCACGTTGTTTGCTTCTAGGTAAAAGCTTAACCTCTCTAGGTAATCTTGAATGATTTCATCATTCGCATCAAATTCTTTTATTTGGCCATACAGCGCCATAATTCTAGAAATAATTAGCTAATAAGCTCTAGCAAACCTCTTTTTTGCGTAATTAGGTGCTCTTTCTAGTAGATGTTTATCCTTCGTCGCCAGTTATAATAGATTGACGACAGAAGCCTGTGGTTGTATATAACAGTCTTTATTATGTACAGACGCCATCATGCGAAGAGAGAGGAAGTAAGTGGCCAGAGACCACTATATATAGATAACAACATGTAAGGGACATCACTCCAGATAACAATATAAATATAATACTAATACAGAGAGTGAGTTCCCTTGACCTCACAATTATTTCAATCTATTACACAAAGTATGCTACTTAAATTTCTCTACATTTAAATAGCAAAGATGACATCAGATATAAGCATTAACAATGTATGCTGACATGTTTCTCTATTGCATTTAATCTCTTCTTTTTTGCCAGGTATAAAGGAAAATCTGAAAGTGTTTTCAGACAACTTAGGCAACTGTATTAAAATAATAATTCCCAGGACTACAACAATGTTTTCATTAAAGGAAACAAATTAGACAAAACACTAAGCCGAAACTCGTAGTCTTAAACCCAGTAAAAATAGTTAGCACAATCCTATTGTTTTACGACAAATTTCATTTTAGAAATATGAGTTACAGGTACCGATAAACTATTGTTTGTTTATTTATGCTTTATTAATAGGAATTTTTAAAAAAACTCACTGAAACACTGCAACAGGTTGAGAAATTAAAAAAAAAAATTTATAAGGCACTTTTAAAAGATAAATAAAATTTAAATTTACAAGCTGCTTATAAATTAGAAACTTACATTTTTGAGAAAACTGCTGAAATATCTCCCTTTCACTCAAGTTTGCAGAAAGCATCTGGCCATCAGGAGTAATGAACTCATCTGTCTTGTCACCGTTGAAATTTCCCAGAAGGCCTGTGGTATTACTCTGAAGATCTTTAGGAACTTCAAACATAATCTCAAGACTTCTTACAGCAACATGAACATGAATTGTTACACCTGTTAAATGTTAAAAAGAAATATAAAATTTAAATATAATTAAGTTTTTTTTTAAAATGTTTCATAACATTTTCAAATTACTTTTTTGAAATTTTACAGTCTATTTTTAACTTAACTTTAGTTTAACGTAAATAATTTTACCATAACAAATTATAACTGAACTTTAAATTAAAATCCATACCACAACCAAAGTTCACAACAGCAATTGTTCTGTTATTCTTGTATTCCCTTGTGATTTGAATAGAATCTGTTGCAACAATGATCTCTGAGTCTGAATCTTTATAAAAATCATTTGTGATGTCTACACCATGTGATGTAAGCAGCATTGCTGAGAGCATAAAAGTTAATGTTGTTATAATTTTTTCTCAATAACTATGTAAAGATCATATATGAAGTTTAGAAATGTCTTGCTATATAATGCTAGAAAAGAATGCAATATTATTTAATTAGGCTTTACTTTAACATTTTAAACTATTTCATTTACATGCCATATTGCATAATTACAATCTAATTAAAGATTTAAAATTAAAAAAAAACCTACTTGTGTTAGAAGATGAAAGCAGAACCTGGAACGTAGTTTGATTTGATTCCTTGACAGCAAATCCTATAAAGACAGTGGCACTTGATAGAGTTCCATTCACTGTTACTGCTCTTCCTGTTCTTGTCTGGTATTAATACAACACATTTTTTTATCATATAAATCTACTAAATGTTGACATATGAGCAGAATCTGTTAAAACAATTTTGGCAAAAATTTAGTCTTATCCCTACCTGGATTGTAAAGTTTTCACTAGCAATTTCCATCATACAATACTCCCCCCAACCATTCATGGCATAATTTAGACCATCCAGTGTAGTAATTGTAGGATCACCCAACGCTGAAGCTAGAATTTTTATTTAAAAATAAATAAATAAAATATAATTTAAATACACATTGTGCTATTTGACAATTGAGGCAATTAGTTTTGTTACATATAACAAACACTAATAGTAGTAGTCTAGACCTACAAAACAGCATAATAAATATAGGGCCTAATGTATTGCTGATAGGATGAATGCAAAAAGAAGTATTACAACATTCTGTATTATTGATAATTGTTAAAAGATTATACTGTAAAAAAATTTTAAAATGTTCAACATGCTAGACAAATATGTAATATGTTAAAAATTATCTATTGTTTATTGTAACATTTACACAGCTTACAATAGGTAAATACTGCATCGGACGAATACAAAGTAAATCATAATTTTCCCGCAACTGATACTATGTTACATGAAAAAAAATCTAAATTTCCATGTGTTAATTAAAAGAAATACATTATTGATTAAGCTGGGATGAGCACAACAGTTAACCACAAATCTACTTAAAAAAGCGTACCTGGGACAAACACCACAAAGTTTGAGCATCTTTTGTCAGAGAAGACCTTAAAAAACCAGTCACAGTACTTTGCTTGGCTGGCATCCTTACAGCACCACTGGTGAGCCTGCATATTTTCCTGTGCTTGAAACAGATCATAGTTAGCTAGTGACCAGGGGTCCTTGATAAGTAGGTGACCTGATTCAGAGGATGCTTGGAGATAGGTGGCTTCTCTCCAGGTTTGTAGCCAGTCTCTCCAGTCATCATTGTTTGGTTTGGTCCATCTGTAGCAGCAGAGCTAAATGTTTTGACAAAAAAAGGAAATAATATCAATGCCAAAAAACACTATTGTTAAAAATTATGCAAATATGTAATAATTTAGTTAAGTATTAAAATTTCTATTTATATTAAAGCCTGCTAGCATAGCTCTACTTGCTTTACTCTTTAGGCTACATCTATAATTTACTAATATATTTAATATATTAAATCAAACTTATAATTTATAGCCTACTTGACTCTAAATCAAACATACATATTACTGCACATTGTGTCCAAAATTCATCTATCCAATTAGGGAACTTAAAAATGATTTAAAAAATCACTCTCAATCAAGACCAGTTCTTATAATTTAAAAAAAAAAGATTTTTAAAAATGTTCCAAACATTATAGAATGAAACTTTTGTTACTGCTAAAAAGCCAGTTTTCATTTAAATGTTAGGAACAGATAATAAACATTTTGATTTCAAATAATCTTTTAATCACAAACCATATTTCGTTTATTTCCTTGTAACATCCTTCGTTTAGCAACATTACTGATGGCGTAGCAGTAAATGTCTTGCTTCTCTCCACGTTTCTCATAGAGCTGCCATTGGCGTCCGAGCCTCTCCAGGGTACATGGGCATGTGTACAGTTGCTGTTTATCATACCTAAATGCAGGATCTTCAAGTAGATAGCTCTTGCTGCAGACATACTGGTAGCATCTCGTATCATAATTGGACACCTGACCAACCTCATAAGCTGTGACTCCGGTGTACCCTGTAAAATTATATATATATATATATATTTATTTATTTATTTATTTATTTATATATATATATATATATATATATATATATATATATATATATATATATATATATATATATATATATATATATATATGTGTGTATATGTTTGTGTGGGTGCATTTGAACATATTATTTATCTATGTATACATACAATGGTTTAGATATATTATCAATTTTAAATTCATTTATTCCTTTCCTCATGCCTAATCTATATATATAAAGCAAAGTGGTCAAGTGCCCGATAGGGCACTTCCCGGCGCCGCAGGCGCGTCAAATTTGGCTCGATGGTGCCTTCGGGCAATAGAACACGAAGGCCGGTGACGGTTGGCCGAAAAGTCTACGGAGAGGGGGTCAAAACTGACATCGACTGACCGGCGCCTTATATGGGCTATATTACGAAAAAAAATTTCCTCCGACGACCCCACTTGAAATTTTGTGAGGTGGTAGGAGAACACCTTGGGGTGTCACAAAAAACTCGCCATGTCCGGGAAAAATCGGGAAATGGGTCAAAACTGACCAGTCGTATTTCCCTATATAATCTTTGTATTTTATGGGGAAAACAGAGGGTCATTTCAAAACGGATTTTAGGGCACTTACCCTATTTACATCTGGCTAAGTTTTGGCATGCTTATAGGTAATTGGCTTGGTCGTAGGGCGGACCTGTCGGTTTGACTCAAAGCACTCGACAAGGGCTAAAAAGTGACCGCGAGTGAAATTCTCTTTATATGAGCTCTATTACGAAAAAAAATTTCCTCCGACGACCCCCCTTGAAATTTTGTGAGGTGGTAGGAGAACACCTTGGGGTGTCACAAAAAACTCGCCATGTCCGGGAAAAATCGGGAAACGGGTCAAAACTGACCAGTCGTATTTCCCTATATAATCTTTGTATTTTATGGGAAAAACAGAGGGTCATTTCAAAACGGATTTTAGGGCACTTACCCTGTTTACATCTGGCTAATTTTTGGCATGTTTATAGGTAAATGGCTTGACCGTAGGGCAGACCTGTCGGTCTTACTCAAAGCCCTCGACGAGGGCTAAAAAGTGACCGCGAGTGAAATTCTCTTTATATGAGCTCTATTACGAAAAAAAATTTCCTCCGACGACCCCCCTTGATATTTTAAGAGGTGGTAGGAGAACGCCTTGGGGTGTCACAAAAAACTCGCCATGTCCGGGAAAAATCGGGAAATGGGTCAAAACTGACCAGTCGTATTTCCCTATATAATCTTTGTATTTTATGGGAAAACAGAGGGTCATTTCAAAACGGATTTTAGGGCACTTACCCTCTTTACATCTGGCTAAATTTTGGCATGTTTATAGGAAAATGGCTTGACCGTAGGGCAGACCTGTCGGTCTCACTCAAAGCCCTCGACGAGGGCTAAAAAGTGACCGCGAGTGAAATTCTCTTGATATGAGCTCTATTACGAAAAAAAATTTCCTCCGACGACCCCCCTTGATATTTTGTGAGGTGGTAGCAGAACGCCTTAGGGTGTCACAAAAAACTCGGCATATCTGGGAAAACTTCGTAAAGGGGTCAAAACTGACCAGTTGTATTTCCCTATATAATCTTTGTATTTTATGGGAAAAACAGAGGGTCATTTCAAAACGGATTTTAGGGCACTTACCCTCTTTACATCTGGCTAATTTTTGGCATGTTTATAGGAAAATGGCTTGACCGTAGGGCAGACCTGTCGGTCTCACTCAAAGCCCTCGACGAGGGCTAAAAAGTGACCGCGAGTGAAATTCTCTTGATATGAGCTCTATTACGAAAAAAAATTTCCTCCGACGACCCCCCTTGATATTTTGTGAGGTGGTAGCAGAACGCCTTAGGGTGTCACAAAAAACTCGGCATATCTGGGAAAACTTCGTAAAGGGGTCAAAACTGACCAGTTGTATTTCCCTATATAATCTTTGTATTTTATGGGAAAAACAGAGGGTCATTTCAACGCAGACTTTAGGGTACTTAAGCTCAGTATATCTGGCTAATTTTTCGCATGCTCCTAGGTCAATGGCTTGACCTTTAGGGAAAACTGTCGGTTACACTCAAAGCCCTCGACGAGGGCTAAAAAGTGACCGCGAGTGAAATTCTCTTTATATGAGCTCTATTACGAAAAAAAATTTCCTCCGACGACCCCCCTTGAAATTTTGTGAGGTGGTAGGAGAACACCTTGGGGTGTCACAAAAAACTCGGCATATCTGGGAAAACTTCGTAAAGGGGTCAAAACTGACCAGTTGTTTTTCCCTATATAATCGTTGTATTTTATGGGAAAAACAGAGGGTCATTTCAACGCAGAGTTTAGGATACTTAAGCTCAGTATATCTGACTAATTTTTTGCATGCTCCTAGGTCAATGGCTTGACCTGTAGGGAAAACTGTCGGTTACACTCAAAGCCCTCGACGAGGGCTAAAAAGTGACCGCGAGTGAAATTCTCTTTATATGAGCTCTATTACGAAAAAAAAATTCCTCCGACGACCCCCCTTGAAATTTTGTAAGATGGTAGGAGAACGCCTTGGGGTGTCACAAAAAACTCGCCATATCCGGGAAAAATCGGGAAATGGGTCAAAACTGACCAGTCGTATTTCCCTATATAATCTTTGTATTTTATGGGGAAAAATGAGGGTCATTTCAAAACGGATTTTATGGCACTTACCCTCTTTACATCTGGCTCAGTTTTGGCATGCTTATAGGTCAATGGCTTGACCTGTAGGGAAAACTGTCGGTTACACTCAAAGCCCTCGACGAGGGCTAAAAAGTAACCGCGAGTGAAATTCTCTTTATATGAGCTCTATTACGAAAACAAAATTCCTCCGACGACCCCCCTTGAAATTTTGTGAGGTGGTAGGAGAACACCTTGGGGTGTCACAAAAAACTCGGCATATCTGGGAAAACTTCGTAAAGGGGTCAAAACTGACCAGTTGTATTTCCCTATATAATCTTTGTATTTTATGGGAAAAACAGAGGGTCATTTCAACGCAGACTTTAGGGTACTTAAGCTCAGTATATCTGACTAATTTTTTGCATGCTCCTAGGTCAATGGATTGACCTTTAGGGAAAACTGTCGGTTACACTCAAAGCCCTCGACGAGGGCTAAAAAGTGACCGCGAGTGAAATTCTCTTTATATGAGCTCTATTACGAAAAAAAATTTCCTCCGACGACCCCCCTTGATATTTTGTGAGGTGGTAGAAGAACACCTAGGGGTGTCACAAAAAACTCGGCATATCTGGGAAAACTTCGTAAAGCGGTCAAAACTGACCAGTCGTATTTCCCTATATAATCTTTGTATTTTATGGGAAAAACAGGGTAATTTCAACACAATTTTTACGTTACTTAACCTCTGTACATCATGCTAATGTTTTGCAAACACTTCTATAGATGACTAGGCCGTATGGAAAAACTGTTGGACAGACTCAAAGCCCTCGACCAGTGCTAAAAGATGACCGCGAGTGAAATTCTCCTTATATGAGATATATATATATAAATAAATTGATCCCCTTAATATTATTTGAGGTCGTAGACCGACCCTGGAGGGTAACAAAAAAACTTTATTCCCGTCGGAAAAAGCCATTGTAGACGTTAAATATGTTTATATATCGTATTTTCTTATATAAGCATAGTAACTGTTTAAAAAAAAAAGTAAACACAGACATACGTCATTCGGTTAATTTTCAAGGGAGGTAACCTTTTTAAATAATTATTTTTCAAATAATTGTATACTTTTTTAAACAGAAACAGAAAACGACAAAGTATAGCATTTGTTTTAGAATAAAATACGTTGCTAATTAAGCTACGTATCATAATTAAATAAAAAATTAATTTTAAAAGTCAAGGTAATATAAATTGTGAGATATACTGTTCATGGAACCTCTGTAGTTCTATTTCCATTTTAGTTATAAATTGCGTACTTTCGAATGCTTTCTCTGAAAGCGGATATTACACAACATACAACAACATCTTCTCTAAAATTAGCATTGCTGTTTAGATTTAAGAACTCCACGCCTCATCCATCACCAAACAATTAGTATTCTCAAATGTTTTTGAAAACCTAAGCGAAGCTAGGCAGAATGCCTAGTAATAATATAGATCTAATATAAACCTTTGTTTCCTGGGACTGTTGTGAGCTTGGCCACAAGTGGTGAATTCAAATCAGCTACAACATTTTTGTTGTTACTTCCAGTTGTACCAATTGCTATAGGCCTACCAGGCACGTAGCGCCATGACATTTTTCCTTGCTGGTAAATAAAGATGACATATGCTGTTTCTTCATCTGTAAGAGCATAGGTAAATTTGCTTAATTGATGGAAATTAAGAGTTGAAAAACTGTAAACTTATAACAAATAAAATTTTTATATTTACAACAATTCTGTGCAAGTAATGAAAAATTCTGTTTAACCAAGTCATTTAAATCTAATTATTAAATTTTTAAAATTTTATTATAGGTTTTATAATAAAATGCATTCCAGAAATTACTTCAGATATGTTTGAGAAAATAAAATGTTTACTTTGCATTGTTATCCTTCCATTCATGACTTTGGTTTCCCAGCCACTTATATAAATTGCCTGGACAGTGTTAAGCTCTTTAAACTGGGAATAATTTTTAAAAGTTGAAGTTGTGCTATTTGTTAGATTTGCGAAGCTTAAGCATTTAACAAACCAGTATTCATTTGAATTATTGTAATAATAATTTTTTATGCTTTTCCTACAATATTATATCTCCTTAATGGTGTTGATAGTTTAAAAACATTAATTAACATTTGTATTGGACTGTAGTAAATAGCTATGAACAAGTAATGAATAATTATTTAAGTGAACAACAGTGTTTCTTTCAGGCATTTTTCTTTGGGGTGGGGGGGGGAGACGCATTTGAAACTTTCAAGAGGAGAGGGCGGACTAAATTTTCTGGCGAGGTGAATACTGGTGTAAGTATATATTTTCTATATACATTCTTTTTTGTTGAGGAGGTGGGGGAGGGTGGGGGGTAGCCATGCTTTAGAGGGGGCACAACTCCTTTTCTCACACCCCCCCCCTCTCACAAGACATGCTTGAAAGGAACACTTGTGGACAAACTTTTGACTTAGTAAGCCTGACAACTTTAAAAATATAGAATCAGCTGAAATCCCCATAGAAAAATAAAAGATGGAACTTCACTAGGTAATAATGAAGAAATAAGCGTAGGATAGAGTTGCCTGCAGAGTTTCCACCAGAAAAATTTAGTCCCCCCCCCTTCCCAAAAAAAAATCAAGTGCCCAGCAGAGAAAAAAGTATGAAAGAAACACTGGTTGCCTGCACGGTTTTTGTTAACAGCTTATTTTAAGGTGGAACTGAAGACTAAAACTGATACTCATTAAGTAACTAGACATAGAAATAGATCTAGGAAAATTTATATTTTTTATTTAAAAAGTTGATTACAGCTAATTGCACTTTTGTATACAGTGAGTTAAATGATAATAATTTTAAAAATATAATTCTACAATTTTTATCAAATATTTTATCCTGTATGTAATATGTAACATTACTTAAAAAATTTTTTTTTATAGATCCACAGTGTTGAGTTTCATTAAAAAATTAAACTTTTCTGTCCTTACTTTTTTAGATGGAGCAAAAGGTTGAACATTGTCCCATGTGACAACTAGGGCTTTATTAACTTCAAAACCAGAGAGTGAGAAATATTTCTGAACATCCTTGCTAGCTCTCATCATCACTTGTACCAGGGCTGGGGACTCCATGTCATTTGTATCAGAGAAAACATGGCTGCATCTTTCATACAGATGGTAGTAGACATTGCCTGTTTGGTTACAAACAGTTTGATTAATTATTTGGTTTACAAAAATAAATATTTGATTCTTACTTCAAAAACGTTTTCAATAAATAAAAATTAGAATGGTTTTTTGACAAAAAAAATAATTATGGTAAATAAAATAATTAGCTTGATAAAATACCAATATCTGGGTCAATGTCAGCCCAGTAGGCAGCTATAATGTTAAGTCCTTTCTGACTGGCTAATTTCAAATTAGGGGAGCCACTTAGTGCAATTGGTTGGGTGCCAAAGCCAAACACTCCATTAGACATTACCTATGAAAATAAAGAGCAGTTTTGAAATAAATATGCCTATATTTAAATTTGTCTAAAATTGAGTAAACGATAACATTTTAATTACATAAATTATGAAAATTATATGAGACTGAAATATTTTTACATAAAAAATATCGTTAATAATTTTATCATAATTATGGAATAAAATAATCTTTCCATATTTTTATAGTCACTTACATAAGCTTCTGGCTGCAATGTAGTGCTAAAGGGAGCCCCAGATAGAAATTTGATTGGTTTGCTAACCAGGTAGCTTGATTTAGTCAAGACGTTATTAGCAAGGTTAAGGTCATTTGCAGCTGCTCCATAGCTGTAGTAAGGCACTGGGAAGATTTTTTTAAAATGAATTTTAAATGTATCTTTGATTAATTGATGTAATGTAGTAGTTACCTTACATTTTAATATGGTACACATTTAAAGTCATCTACAGAATTTAATAAGAAGTAATTTAAAATCAATTTAGTTGTTTGTTGCAACCATTATCCCAAATTTTAAAAAAATGTGCAACAGTTTTTGGCATTTAACTTACCAACACAATTTAATTGTGTATCCTGGTCAAGTATCAAATCATCAGGGCATAAACACTTTTCTTCACCGATCCCCACAATAATACAAGTGTGTGAACACTTCAGTATTGTGCATTCTGTACTAACTGTATAAATAAGATGGATTTTAAAAAATTACAATCAAGCTTTAGGGGTCATCCATAAATAACGTCACGCTTTTTTTCTGAAGATTTCTAGCTACCCCCCCCCCCCCTCCCCTCCGTCACACATCGTCACAAAAAGCCAGACCCCCCCCCCTAAAATGACATCACACCTCAGCCTACAACCCAACCCCCCACCCTCAAAATTGAAGTTGAATTTCTTCTAAAAGCATCGATATTTTTCCAAAATCTTGTCTGAACTCTGTCAACATAGAGTATTTTAATCAATTTCTATTTCAATTCATTAAAACAGTTTTCTAAAACGCGAAATAACGGCTAAAATTCGTTTTTTTAACATTGCTTTTATATAATAGCAAAGTCAGACGTCACGCCATCTGAACACCCCCTCGCTCTCATCATAAACCGTCACAAAATTACGGACCCCCCCCCCCCCCCCTTAGACTGTGAAGTCATATATGGACGACCCCTTAGACTAGATTTTGTAAACTAAAAAAAAAAAGGTACACAATCAATACATTATCTTCTTAGTTTTACAATTTGTCTTATAAAATGGTGATGTAATTCAGTCATTTCTGTATGAAAAAGGCAACATATAGATATAAAATATAGCTCAATTTTTCAGACTGTATACTTACCATCACAAGTTGCTGTTGTTGAGTTCATCACATATCCTGGGCGGCACTGGCATATGTAACTACCAGGTGAATTCACACAGAAGGAGTTTTCAGGGCAGACTTTTTTGTTTGTTGCCAGACATTCATTGACGTCTACAGAACAATCTCCCATGGTCCAGCCTGGCTTACAGATACACTCGCCATTGGTGTTGTCACAGAACTGGGTGTTTTCTTTCACACATTTACAGTTGGTGTCACATGATGTCAGGCCATAGGTGAAGCTGCGGCAAACTAAATTTAAAATAGATAGCTTTTTTATTGTTTTGATTTATATTATATAACTCAATGCAAAAAGCCTACCGGATGCTAAGGCCCGGCCTAGATCTTGTTATGCCAGGGGTTCAATTTTCAAAGGTTTGATAGAAAATATTAGCCATTTTATAAATAAAAGATTGTCATCAGTTTTCGTCTAACATTCATTGTTAAAGATGAAAAGTTAAATAATTTACCGTGTGTTGTGTAGTTGCCATTAAAATATCCATAAGACCAGTAGTAGTTGTTTATATATTTAATGTACATTTGATTCCGTTTAGTTCGTATAATATTAGGAATTCCTTCACAATAGCGACCGATCAATCTTCCTCCAGGGCTGCTACCATCATATACTTCTAAATAAGCTCCAGGGCATTTGTAGTCAGAAGAAATGGAAAAACTTGAAAACCTTCAAAAGTAATATTTTTATTTTATTTATTTCATATAAACATGATGTAATAAATTATTAGCTTTTAGTTCACAATTTCTGTTTAATTGTGTTTGGGTTGTGGCAAATCGTGTAACTCAATTTTATCTCACCTCTAATGCAGCAATTTCATTTTAACTTTCCAGGTACATTTATCTCCAATGACAACGCAAGAATATCATTACTGGTTTTTACGGCTCGTTGAATTTTTTTGCCTGAGCGTCAACCACGAAATGCCACATAATTGTCTTTTAGAGATTACAAGATACTGATCGGGTTTTAACGCAATTATAATTAATCGTAGCCAATAGAAATTAAAACTCTTTTAAAAACACATTCAACACTGAGATCTCGATTTCAAATAAAAGCATTGATAGCTAGTGAAATCTACTACAGTTTTTGATGACCAATGCTTTTATTATAATGCATATAAAGTCCATTGAATTTTTCTCTCTCTGACGGCTATTTTCGCTTCAAAGCATATATATATATATATATATATATATATATATATATATATATATATATATATATATATATATATATATATATATATATAATATGTATATATATATATATATATATATATATATTTATATATTTATTTATTTATATATATGGTCCTTAGAAGTTAAAGGTGTTTTTTTTAGTTTTTAAGAGGGGTCCATCTAAATTTGTTTCGAAATTGTGTAAAACGTGCTCTAAATTTTTGATATATAATTTCTCAAACTTTTTATGTTATTAATGTGTAGAAGTACAAAGCTAACTTTTATTTTTGAACATTGAACCAAGTATAGGTGTGTCCATTTGATCGAATACAAGAACCGACTTAATACACACAACTAAATAATTTGCTCAATACGTAAAATGTTTAATATGCTAAAAGGAGAACAACAAACCTAAGAGAGATCACTTTTCCAGTCTCAGCTGTGACAGACCAGGAACAATTAGCATTGGCAAAATAGTTATATGATGGATTAGGATTCGTTATCATTCCCGAGGAGTCAGTTAGTACATTGCTGCAGTCTGGGGGATGGAAGGTATTTTCAAATGTATTAAATCAAATATTTTCTTCGTGTTTAGTAACCTACTACTTTTTAGTAGAAAAGTTATATATATATATATATATATATATATATATATATATATATATATATATATATATGTGTGTGTGTGTGTGTGTGCGTGTGCGTGTGCGTGTGAGTGTTTCTCTCCCTATAAAACTCGCTTTATGATTATACGTAAATGTGCATATATATACATTTATATTTTTATATTTATATAAACAGTACCTAATTGTTGGCAAGATCCGTTGCTTGATTCATAATACCCAAACAGGTTATAGCATGGGCATAAATAGCCTCCATACGTGTTTTGACATATACTGTTCTGACGGCAACTGTATTGTCCGAAATAGCACTCATCGAAGTCTTCTTCACAACTTGATCCAGTAAAATTTGACGTACAGTTACAAGTTCCATACTTCGTATCACAATTGTATGTAGTGTTATGTAAACAAGGACAAGCAAGTGAACAGTCTGGTCCATATGTCAGATTTCTGCATTCTGAGAAAGGATTAACATTTATTTGAACAACCGGAGAAAAAGTGGGTTCTATCCATGTGATTTAGTAGTGATTTAGGTTTTGACGATACAATTCATTTAAAGTGTTGTGTGAAAATTAAAATATCTGCTTGCATTGGCTTATTTAATTATATAGCCTACGCTTTGCTTGAAAACAACGCTTAAAAAATAAAATGGAATTTCCATAAATAATGTGAATAATAAACAAACGTTAAACGAATTAAGAAATATTTTCATATTTTAATTTTAACGTTTTTGCATTGTCTTGATTATAATTTTAGTAGGTGTGCATAAAGTGAATATTTAAATTTAGTGCGATTAGTGGTATGGTGTTTATTTGTGAACTTAAGCTATACTAACGAATGCATGTATCTCCAAGCAGCTCCATGCCTATAGGACAGTAACACTTCTCTTCTGGTGAACTTTGACCCTGCGGTGTTATCTTAGCACAGATATGAGAGCAGTTTCTACCACCAGACGTAGGGCATTCTGCACCTGGTTTCACTTATTGATAAAATATATCAAGTAAAGATCAATATGAACTAAATAATGAAAAAATTGGACAAACAAACAAGTTTTTCCTTACAATATATGTTTTAGTGTAGCCTATATGTCAGTTTATCTGCTAGTAAAAAACGGAATGATTTTTTTAAGTAAAATAATCATCTTTCTATATGTACCGATAATTGATATCAAAATGATTCAAAATTTTAAATTTAGAATTGTTTGCTTGATTACAAATTATAATATTTCGATCATCCCTTTAGTTATTTTTATGAAGCTGGAAAATGCAAGTCATGCTTGAATGAAATAATATATTAAACAATAGGTATTGGCATACAATGTGGTAAATGCTGAGAGTATCAGATATCTAAAATGTAAAAACTTCTCAAATTAAACTATATAATATATTACTAGCATTAATATATGTATAGTAGTAATTATATGAATCTTTTAAAGCTTACTTTTTTGGTTGATGGATAACACAAGCAAAAAGTATTTTAGTTGCCATTTATTCAAAAGCCAAAATATCATTTTATAGCAATTTTTACGTTTAAATCTTTGCAAATGAATAACTTAAATATGCGATATATATATATATATATATATATATATATATATATATATATATATATATATATATATATATATATATATATATATATATATATATATATATATCGATGGTCTCGGTCGCAAACCGTCTAACTCAAAAAAATTCGATTTTCTTTTTTTTACATAAATCAAAAGCCAGTATGATTCCCCATAATGCCTGAAAATATTAGAGAAATCTGTAGAATGATTATCGAGATATAATCATTTGAACAAACCGCCTATTATTTCAAGCGCTAAAAATCTCGGCGCAAAACGAATATCGCTATATTTGTCAGTACACTTTTGATCGGGAACGCAGTCGCACGCCGCAATCACACAATTTTACAGCACAACAGTCACAGTACTTATAGGTAAGGATATTTGATTAATTATGTTCAGATATTCTATTACATTTTATCATTTTAAAGAATAATAAACAAATAGTATTTGTTTAATATAGCCTATTTCCAGATTTCCAATAACCAAACTGATTTGTTTACAATTTTTTAGGCTAAAACAATGCTTTGAAACTAGATCTTCATTCTAGAATCTAAATATCAATCAAAGCAATATTATTCGAATTATATTTCCACAAGATTGTGGAATAAATTTAATTATTGTTAATTCACTACTAGCTTTAGATTGAGGGTTCAGCTACGTGTTAAGAAATGTTTATATGGTAGGTTACAAAATGTTTGGCGTACATGTTCAAAGAGCTGGTTAGTTGTCTTTAGTAAATGTTTTTATGATTAATTTTTCAACAGACAAGCCTACCTCAACACACCAGATTCTCTCATCAGATTAGCCTCTCTCAACAGACCAGCCTCTCTCAACACACAAGTCTTAGCACATAACAGATCAGCCTCTCTGAACAGACCAGCCTCTCAAATTATCAGCCTCTCTCAACAGATTAGCCTCTCTCAACAGACCAGCCTCTCTCAACACACAAGTCTTAGCACATAACAGATCAGCCTCTCTGAACAGACCAGCCTCTCAACATATCAGCCTCTCTCAACAGATTAGCCTCTCTCAACAGACCAACCTCTCTCAACAGACCAGCCTCTCTCAACAGACCAACCTCTCTCAACAGACCAGTCTTAGCACATAACAGATCAGCCTCTCTAAACAGACCAGCCTCTCAACAGACCAGCCTCTCTTAACAGATCAGCCTCTCAACATACCAGCCTCTCAACATATCAGCCTCTCTCAACATACCAGCCTCTCTCAAAAGACCTGCCTCTCTCAACAGACCAGCCTCTCTCAACAGACCAGCCTCTCTCAACAGACCAGCCTCTCAACATATCAGCCTCTCTCAACACACCAGTCTTACCATACAAGACATCAGCATCTCTGAACAGACTAGCCTCTCTCAACAGACCAGCCTCTCAAAAGACCAGCCTCTCAACATATCAGCCTCTCTCAACATACCAGCCTCTCTCAAAAGACCTGCCTCTCTCAACAGACCAGCCTCTCTCAACAGACCAGCCTCTCTCAACAGACCAGCCTCTCTCAACAGACCAGCCTCTCTCAACAGACCAGCCTCTCAACATATCAGCCTCTCTCAACACACCAGTCTTACCATACAAGACACCAGCATCTCTCAACAGACCAACCTCTCTCAACCTACCAGCCTCTCTCAACAGACCAGCCTCTCAACATATCAGCCTCTCTCAACACATTAGTCTTACCATACAAGACACCAGCATCTCTCAACTGACCAATCTTAAAAGCACCAGCCTCTCTCAACAGACCAGCCTCTCTCAACAGACCAGCCTCTCTCAACAGACCAGCCTCTCTCAACAGACCAGCCTCTCAACATATCAGCCTCTCTCAACACACCAGTCTTACCATACAAGACACCAGCATCTCTCAACAGACCAACCTCTCTCAACAGACCAGCCTCTCTCAACAGACCAGCCTCTCTCAACAGACCAGCCTCTCTCAACCTACCAGCCTCTCTCAACAGACCAGCCTCTCAACATATCAGCCTCTCTCAACACATTAGTCTTACCATACAAGACACCAGCATCTCTCAACTGACCAATTGTAAAAGCACCAGCCTCTCACAACAGACCAGCCTCTCTCAACAGACCAGCCTCTCTCAACAGACCAGCCTCTCTCAACAGACCAGCCTCTCTCAACAGACCAGTCTTACCATACAAGACACCAGCATCTCTCAACTGACCAATCTTTAAGGAACCAGCATCTCTCAACTGACCAATCTTTAAGGAACCAGCATCTCTCAACTGACCAGCCTTCACAACAGACCAGTATTAACATAGAAAAGACCAAACTCTCTTCAATGACCAATCTTACCATACAGGAAACTAGAATATCTCAACATAAGTCTAACCCTCTAAGACACCAGCAACTCAACAGACCAGCCTCTCTCAACAGACCATTCTTACCATACTAGAGACCAGTCTCTCTCAGCAAACCAGTCGTAATATACAAAAGACCTAACTCTCTCAACACACCAGTCTTACCAAACAAGACACCAGCCTTTCTCAACAGACCAGTTGTAACATACAATAGACCAGCCTCACATAACAGACAATAGGCACCAGCCATCCTCAAAAAGACCAGTATTACCATACAAGAGACCAGCCGATCTCAAAAGACCAGTCAGACCTATCAAGAATTCAAAGCGACTGCACTGCAGTACAAGCCTGATGCTACTGTCTACTTCAAAGTGAATTAGCAGATAGCTGGCAATTGCTAAGCTAGGGTCGTAAGATTATGATCTCATCTGTAGCCCCTGACAAGTTGCACAAGAGCAGAAAAAAAAAGATAAAAGCTGTCAAATTTGAGCACCTAAAAGCAAGTTATAAATTCACATTTTTGTGATGATTTGCCTGATTTTAAAATATGTTGCCATTTTAATGTCTCTTCGTGTGACGTTTATTTAAAGAATAAATTAAAAAATAAATACATTGTTTTTGTTACATTTTGTCAAAACATTAAGTCATTATTAATGTAATTAATGTGTTATGTCTCATTCATAATATATCTGAAAATAAGGTATATATTTTTACTGTTATCATTCTACAAACCCAGCACCCACTAGATTTAGTAAAATAAACTGTGAGAATAGAAAGATGTAATAAATAAAGCATAACCATCAACAGTTAATTAACAAGTCTAGTGCTAAATACAGCCATAATGAATAAACAGTCGAAAGCGATAAAGCAATAGTAACACATCTCTACTAAAATTAAACTGATCTCATAAAGTAGAATAAACTCAAATAATTAAAATATGAGCCCAAAACTATAATCTAATATTATGAACTGTTAATTATAACTTAAAAGCATAAACATAACTAAAACACGTTCATTGGACAAAACGAACGAACGCGGCTGAGACCGAAATTCTCGGTTCAAAACAGCTAAGTCTGCGCGCGCACAGATAGACGGTTTGCACCGAGAATTTTAGACCGAGCAAACCGTCTATCTTTTAAAACCTGCTATAATTTTGTAAATATTAACCTAACTCATTTTAAAACGCTATAGTATAGTCGGTAGAGAGTTTCTTCGCACATATGATTAAAAATAGTTTGTATTAAAGCGATCAACAAAGAAATAATCAGTTTTTTGTCTCTCCTGTAAAATTTACATTTTTGGAGTTAGACGGTTTGCGACCGAGACCATCGATATATATATATATATATATATATATATATATATATATATATATATATATATATATATATAAAATTGCAGCCCTACACACATTACTTAAACGCACATACCAATGCACTGTGTATTGTTAGATGTCATCACCAGCCCTTCTTTACATAAACATTCATAGCTGCCAATAAGATTGTTACAATTGGAGTAATCTGGACATATTAGGGGGTTCTGTTCACATTCATTGATGTCCACTGAGCAGTTAACTGATGTCCAGCCTGGTTTACAAACACATTGACCAGTGGTGCTAATACATCGCTCAGTGTTGTCGCTATTACATGAGCAGGGCGTTGAACAATTGGCGTCGTAAAACCAATTCGGGCACTCTGAAAGATAAGATATAGCCTACATTCAATGGCTGCGTTTAGTCAAATATATTTTTGTTTATGAGGGGGTCGTCCATTAAACAAGAAGCGCTGGTCAGTTTTATTTAACCATTTGAAAATCTTTAAAACAAAATAAGATCTACTTCAGCACCCAATTATACACACACAAACATCTACACGCCCTCCAACACACTCACACTCACGTTTAGATAGAATGATTACGAAAAATTATTTGCTATTTTAACAATATCTTGTTTCAGATAGTTTACTCGCAAATGAAAAACTAAGTCTAAATTTTTAATTGTTCTAAAAAATTATTTTTAAATATTAAATCCAAAACTGCATAGTATTTGCCCTTCACACACACACACACACACACACACACACACACACACACACACACACACACACACACACACACACACACACACACACACACACACACATATATATATATATATATATATATATATATATATATATATATATATATATATATATATATATATATATATATATATATATTTATATATATTTGTCTGTATGGGTATATAGAATTGTTTATTTATTTTTATATGCGTAAAAAAAATTGACCCCACCCTTACACCACTGTATAAATTTATGCCTACCATGCATCCAATAATACGCTGTGAAACCATTGGAATTATATATATATTCTTGTGCATTTCTAATTATTAACATTGCATTGCCCGAAGATCGGATCAGTCCGATGTAAGGATAGTAACCATAATAGTATTCATAGCTAAATGAAACTAGAAGCGTTGCATTGGCGTTGTCTCCATCATATAAATAGAGAGAATCATAGTAGTATCTCTATTTGGTATTTGAATTGCAGACTGAAATGACAACAATATTTGTTTTATATCAAACAAATTTATATAAAGTTTAATAATGATATATTTAATTTTAAATTTCCTTTACTGTTGGTAATTTTAAATTAAAAGCATGATAGCTAATAGAATAGTTTTATTGCATTTATTGATTGACCATCCATAATTTAATTTATATTTGATAATTTTACATCATATTTTGAATAAATTACACAAATATAAGTTCTATGTCATTTGCCGAAATAAAAGCTTAAAATTTAAAAAAGACGAGACATAGTTCTATGGCTCACTTTAAAGTAATGACCTGACCAAGCGGAGCTATTATCGTCCAGTTACACAACTGAGTCTCTACTCCCAAATAGCCACCAGAGTAAACTCCAGAATCTATTTTACCTGAAGTCTCTGTAAAGGTTTTACCGCATTCTGAAAAATACGCGTTTTTTACTATGTTTTTAATATATACAAACTTGTTTTTTTACAACACATTTTTCATAACAGTTTAAATTGTATTTAATAGAGGCACATAAGAATGTATTTATTGCTAAAGATAGTATTATAAATTCATAATATTCGGTATTTATTACACAAAATTAAAATAATCCAAAGTTAAATCACACATTATTTAAAAAAAAACATAATATATTGTAATATCGTGTTTATTTTTTGTGAAATAAACACATGATAATAAAATTTGGTATTAAGTAAATACTGTTTTAACTTATAACTTAACTAAAATTATAGAATCTACCTAAATGATTTTAGCACAAAAAATAATAAATGATATTTACAGAGATTTTCTATAAGTTAATGATGAATTAAAACAGAACACATTTAGATATGTTTGTCCATTGAACACAGTGCATGCTGTATTGGTGTGAGTAAATATTATGAGGTTTATTAGCCTATTAACTACTGTAACAAAATTATATTTTACCATTACAATACGTTTCATTGAACACCTCAAAATTTCTAACACATCGACATTCAAAAGAACCCCAAGTATTGTAACAAAAAGCGTTATCATGTTCTTTTGTGCAAGGCGGCTTCTCTAGACTACACTCATCGACATCTTCATAGCAGTTTGATGATGTCCATTCCAGCTTACAGGTGCAGAGTCCGTTCTCTTTGTTACAGGACTTTGTGTGGTCGTAGTAACAGTTACAGCCCAAGGCGCAGTTGTCTCCATAGGTCGTATTATCACACTCTTTTGGATATAGTAAATTGGTCCAGATTTTAGAAGTAAATTAACATTTTTCATTTACTAAAAGAATCTTTGCTCAATATTGAATAGCTTCTTAAATTCATAATTTAAATGTCATATTTATTTTACAATTTTCTTTACCTAGTATCTAGATCTTTATTCATTTCTAAGTAGATGCTTTTTACATTTATACTATAATATGAATAGGCCTACATGCCTTCATTAAGTGATTTTATTCAAATGACTTTTAAATTTTAAATATTATATGTATTTGTAAAACTGATGTCACTATATTAAGAAAATAAAAGTCACCTATACAAGTCTGTTGATCAGTAGCATTTAACCTCATTCCCTTGGGACAGCTGCAAACTTCGGTCCACGGGTCTTTTGATGTCACACCACAATAATGAGAACATTTCTTAGTAGTACATTCGTTAACAGCAGCTGTAATAACAGTGTAAATGTTATTAATACATTATATATTATATATATATATATAACCTATATATATATAACCTATATATATATATATATATATATATAGAGAGAGAGAGAGAGAGAGAGAGAGAGAGAGAGAGAGAAAGAAAGAGAGAGGGAGAGAGAGAAAGAGAGCTAGTTCGATATATAGATGTATACAAATATAATCACAACTTGAGAAGTGTTTGGATTCATAGTTGTAAGTTTGAAAATTTAAAAAAAAATTATTTACCTTTGCATGCTCCCGTGCTGTTTTTCTGTAGCCCAGGTTTACACAAGCAATCGTAGCCAGCCTTTGTGTTGTTGCAAACGGAGTAGACGTCTTCACATATGTTGGGGTCCTCACACTCGTTAGTGTCAATGGAACAGTCGTAACCAAACCACCCAGATTGGCAGTAGCAAGCACCTTTTTTATTGTCACAGTACTGGGTGTTTTCTTGAACACATACACATGGTGACTCGCATTTATCGCGTCCGTAGTAAAATGGTGGACATTCTGTAGATTACAAATTAGTGTATAAATAAAATCATTAAACGGGGCTATAATTGTATTAATTGTTCTATAATTAAACACAACTCTAATTGCTTTTCTTGTTTAATTTATATTAGGTATGTTTTAAATAAACAGACTCTTGTTTTTGTTTTCTTTCAATAACTTTTTTATGTTAGAGAATGTATCCTAAAAGCACTTGAACAATTGTTTTGATGTGTATCATCAATAAATATATAAAAAAGTTCATATGTGATGTCATAATTCTTACCCAGAGCCCCATACGAGGCACTAAAGCCTGGCCTTGACCCAGATTCGTCTGATACAAACTGCACATACAACTGATAGCCGGTAGTCCTCACGATCACATTCAAGGCGTCCGCATCATTTTGATAACCACAGTATGTGCCGATCAGTGTAGAATTCGAGTCAGGACCGTCGTACAGTTTCAGGTAATCGATACAGTACTGTTCGTCACGTCTTTCAATATCAAGTCGTTTGAATCTGAAACAATGTAAACCAAAAGCAGCATTGTTAAGCTGAATTATACTTTTATCTTATAAGCAATCCCCAATGTGTTTGTCGTCAGCCCATTAGAACTGTAGCCTCCCCCCCCCCTTACATAAATACAGTTTGAAGCAATAGTTAGTTTGTTCTAAAAAACGAGCAAACTTTTTAAATAAAACACGGATTAGTTAAATAAATTTCCCTCGAGTATCGTGATTTCTTTTTGTATTGTCAAATTATTGGTATTTTAATGGCACTGAAATCCAATACCTTTACATTTAAAACGTTTTTCTTCTTTCTTAATTGTAATGTTGGACGGGATTTCCTCCAACACAGTTGTTACGTAATACTTAACACTGTTAAGTATTACATTGCAACATGGTATGCGCCTTTTGGCCCGTTGACTCCAATTTCAACCTACGTTTCCTTGCTGGATTTGCTTACATAGCCGACCAAGCCGACGCACTACCTTAAACCGATTAATATCTTATAGTATTACACATACAATAGACTAACATTGCATTAAAATCGATTAGTAATGTACCTGAAATCAATAATCTGATAGGATTCCACAGTTATGGCCCAAGCACAGTAAGCATTATCTGGGTACGATTCTGGAAAGTTTGGGGACATGATGTCTCCAGCCTGGTCAGTCAGCTGACCGCCACAATCTAATGTTAAACATTAAAAAATATACAATGCAACACATTACTGAGTCAAACAAGTAGCAGACATATATGAAATTATATTAACAGCAAGAAAGTTACATCAAAATAAAGGCAAAGGATAAATAAAATGTGTAACTAAAAGTTTTGTGTCTTCATTTAACTGATAATTTTTTAACTTGCTTATTTCTCCAAAAGTATAGATCCCAGACTTAATATTAATAAGAATATCCGGCATGATGGGATAGCACTCCAATTGAAAGTAAAAAACATCAACTCCTCCAATATGTGTTACTACATGAGGTAAAACTCAGAAACGATTTTATGACTAATACCAATCGAATGTCATTCGGCTTCATGAGCACAAGATTCACTTGAAATGTCGCCTGTCTTTTGAGATTAACTTTCGATTAAACTACTTCTGTTTACATATTAAGAAAGTCTGGGTTCGCCTCACGAAAATAGAAATCGTAGTCTTTAGGGACGTCACAAAAATACCAGTTTCCATTGATAGCTGCGTGAGGTTCATATACCTACATGCTGTTTGATAGCGCCGCATGCCAATCGTGCCTCATGCTAATAAAGATTCTTTATTTCAAAATTAGTATGTATCACTCTTTAATGCAAAATGAAATTATATTTAATATTTTTATAAAAA